AACCTTGAAAACAACATACTAAGTGAAAGAAGCCAGTCACAAAAGACCACATATTGTATGATTCTTTATATAAAATGTCTAGAAAAGGCAAAAAGAAACAAGAAAAGGGATGGGGGAGAGGAGAGACAGACAGACAGACAGAAAGTAGATTAGTGGTTGCCAGGGGCTGGAGGGAGTCGGGAGGTAGGAATGACTACTACCGCGTACAGTTTCTTCTGACGGTGATGAAAATATTCTAAAATTAGATATTGGAATAGTTGCACAACTCTGTGAATATATTAAAAACCAGTGAACTGCACACTTTAAAAGAGTGAATTTTATGGCACATAAATTATATTCTAATGAAACTGTTATTTTTTTAAAGGCAGTTAAAACCCCATATTCCCTTCTATTCTACATAGCCAAGCCACTTCCCCTCCTGCCCCCAGGTAGATGAATGGAGCTTATTCTCTGGGAACGGTAAAACAGAGGGCCTCTGGTTTGAAGGGCACTAGACGTGGTTGAGAATAGTATCACCCTGAAAGGGAAGTGATTAAATGAATGCATGCCCTGGATACTGAGACTCAAACCACAGGAGGCTGAGAACCAGGCATTTTACCCTGCAGCCAGGTAGTGGGAAAAGCTTGGAGACTCTGACCAGGAAAAAAGGAAAAACCTAAAAATACATTAAGAGCTCTGAACAAAATGGAGCAATCAGATTACCCTATGGTAAAGCCCCCGTAGTTGACAAGCCCCAATTTAAACATTTGGTAGATTGGATTAGTGACAATTATATATAACATCAGCAAAAACAAACAAACAAAAAAAAAACACCCAAAGAAACAAAAACAAAAAACCTTAGTAAGAATTAACCCCCAAAGAAAAATGAAAGGGCCAAAGAAAGACACATCTCAGCTAAGAACTGCACTGCCCTAACCAATATTATATCAACTATATGGAAGATGGAACAATAAAGAAGGGTATACTGTGGGAACTGAGGGGAGGGGGAAGAAAGCTAAGTCTCCATCTTTGAAGACAGGGAGTCAATGGATAATTCCTCAAACTGGAAATTAAAGTAGGAGCAACACAAGCATATCACAGCATTGAGAGATATAGAAATAAACACCAAAAGAATCAGCTGAAAGTTGAAAGTCTTGCCACTGGGAGGAGGAACTGGAGGGTAGGGAGAAGGAAAAAAAATTCTCATAACAACAAATCTTGTGGAAACCATGTGCAATGTGTGATGTTGATGACAAAAATTAAAACTTTTAAAAATAAACTATACTGCAGAGAAATAGGGCATTGGTTTTGACAAACCTGAGTTTAAATCTTAGCTCTGCCACTTACCTAGCTGTGCTTGAGGACATGTTATGTCACATTTCTCAGCCTTCATTTCTGTAATACAGGGAAATAATACCTACATTTTTTTTCTTTATAAATTTATTTTATTTATTTATTTTTGGCTGCGTTGGGTCTTTGTTGCTGCACGGGCTTTCTCCAGTTGCAGCAAGCAGGGGCTACTGTTCATTGCGGTGAGTGGGCTTCTCATTGCGGTGGCTTCTCTTGTTGCAGAGCTCAGGCTCTAGGTGCACGGGCTTCAGTAGTTGTGGCTCGTGGGCTCTAGAGCGCAGGCTCAGTAGTTGTGGCACACGGGCTTAGCTGCTCCGCGGCATGTAGGATCTTCCCGGACCAGGGCTCGAACCCGTGTCCCCTGCATTGGCAGGCGGATCCTCAACCACTGTGCCACCAGGGAAGTCTCAATACCTACATCTTATAGGGCTATTATGCCGATTAAATTGGATGTGTATAAAGTTCTTATCACAGTGTCTGGCAGATATTAAAATGCTCAAAGTGTTAGTTATCTCCCTATCCTTCACTGATTCTGAAGCCAGAGTGATATAAATAGGGGAACTGGTTTGGAATCTTTGGCAGAAATTAAGGAGATACGTATACCTAGGTTTTGATGAAGTGACTGTCCTTATAGTCCATGATAACCAGGCAGCCAACAATCGTAAGAAGAGCCTACAGAATTGGCTTGGACCAAGCAGTTACAGAGCCCAAGAGTCAGAAAGTAGGAAAGTATAAAGTGAGATATTGCCAGATAAGGAGACCTTCAAACACAAGATCTTACCGATGAAGAGGGCCATGTGATCGTGAATGGACATGCTGATAAACAGCTGACAGATGAGACAAGGCCCACGAAATTAAGGAAGTTTTATGTTAAGGACATCAATGAGTCCTCAACGTAGGTATCTGTCCTACTGAAGACAGTTGTAAAAACAAGAGAGAAATAATATAAGCCAGTCCTTAAACCACCTGGAAAATGGAAGTAGATCCTAGGAGGCTGAAGACTTCTAGGAAAAAGATATGGAAAACGTGATATAAATAAACAAAGGAGTATCCATGGTGCACAATTAGGTCAGACCAATCTTTCCACTCCTATCAACTTCTCCCACTACACACACATACTTCCATTTGTAGGCAAAAGATGAGAGACCCCGAGGACTTCTTACTCTTCCCTCCCTCCGTCACCACTCACCCTCACCACCCTGGCCAAATAAAAATCCAACTGGGAATAAAATGTCATCAAAGGAAAGCTAAGCTTCAGAGATGTAAAGAAATGTGTTTGAGGGGAAGGATAAAAGGAAATAAACTGAAAGTACGAAAGAATTCTCCTGGTCATTCCCCAAGGTGAACGGAGAAGGCAGGTGAAGTTATTAAAGAACAGATATGGGATGTGAGAGCATGCAGATATTTGGGAAAAATCAATAGTGATTACTTTGAGATCGGGAATCAACACAAAGTCTGATCTCTTTCCCTTAAGTAGCTTGTCTTTTTGGTTTTAAGCCATCATTCCAGCCTATCAAGTTTGTGTCACAAGCAAATTTGATATGTATGCCTTCTGTGATTAAACTACATTGAATAGAAGAGAAAAGGCTGAACTTTATAGCACAAAACCAACCTAATCAGTTTGGTTGGATTTTTTTTCCCATTGACATTTGACTCCTAGAGCTTACAGGGTACATTTTAGGTTCTTTGGCAGGAATTGTTCACTATTACTACCATCCACTCCTAATTCCTCCAACCTAACCACATGAATACCATACCAAAATAAATTTATGCCATAGCTAAAGTATTTTCTTGATTTGGTAGTATACTATCAATAAAAGGAAATGAAATGAGCCTGCCATGATTAACTTTTAAGAAACTCAAGCACGCTTCTACATAACAGCATTTTCTTTTCAACATATTCACAAACCAACGTCACGTACATAGTTAACGAAGTTGTCATCTATCCTGTTACTTTAAGTATCTACAAATGAATTTAAAAAAAAAAAAAAGGTAGCAGTATGGGGAAAAAAGCCTTAGGCTCACCTGAGACCTTAGAAGATCCCACTCTTTGAATGAGAAGTCTTCATAAAATTGATTATGCCATGATAGAGTGAGGGATGAGCCTGTGCTCACATGAAGAAAATCTCCAAACTATATCAACTCAAGTGGCCTCCACCACTTCAACCCGTACTACGGCAGATGAAAGTGAGCCTGCAACACCCATGGAAAAGAGATATACAATTTGGCCATACAACATCTAAAGCAATCTAAACACAGCTCTAGTTTTTTTTTTAAAGCAGTCTACTAACCCATTGGGTCTGGTACCTCCAGACTAGTGTGGTGTTGGAAATATCTATTACTGACTGTTACAGCAAAAGCCCATTTCTGAAGTTAATAGTCTTCTTAATTAAAAAAGCTGAAAGAGAACTGGACTGCTCATTGGTCACAGCTAAGCTTACTGGAATTTGTTCTTTTTACTCTGTCTACTTTTTCACATAGAGAGAGATGTGAGGAACAATATACCACAGAGATATTTGAGGAGAAACATATTTAACAGCTGACCTATTATCCTAACATTTCAATTCTAACTTTAGGGATTGAACTACATTAGGCAAATATGATATTTTTGATTCCGGAGCGCTCTTGAAGAAGAGACTTAGATTACAATCAGTTTTTCTTTACAGTGACTTTGTTAACAATGTAGTTTCCCATGGGCTAAAAGAGTGCTTTTGGATATCCCAAAAGTTATAGAAGTATGTCCAATTGCACTGCCCTACCCCACCCCACCTTTGCATCTAAGGATGACACACTGTTTTTCCCTAAGTCAAGACAGATAACCTGAAAAATAGGAGTCTATTTATAAAACAGTGAGAAAAATACTTGCAATCAGAGCAATACTCAAAAATCTACAACTTAAAACTCGCATATTATAATGACCCAAAGGGAGATTAGGCCAAATACATTATATCATTCAAATGGCAGTATTCACATCAAAAGTACAATTAAGTACAGATGTTTAGTACTGGATAATCACATTAGATACTAATGGAAACCTTCCAGATTCATCTCAAATTTAATCCTGTTTCATGTTCAGAAATAAAATGACACTGAAAGTTTGTCTTCAAAATGTAAGAAAGGGGCTTCCCTGGTGGCGCAGTGGTTGGGAGTCCGCCTGCCGATGTAGGGGACACGGGTTCGTGCCCCGGTCCGGGAAGATCCCACATGCTGCGGAGCGGCTGGGCCCGTGAGCCATGGCCGCTGAGCCTGCACGTCCGGAGCCTGTGCTCCGCAACGGGAGGGGCCACAGCAGTGAGAGGCCTGCGTACTGCAAAAAAAAAAAAAAAAAAAAAAGTAAGAATGGAGGGGGAACCTATGGGCTAAGATGACTGTCATCACTTTTTACTAAAAATGGTGACCAGAACTAGGGCAAATTCCACCTGAGAAAAATCAAGGAACTACTCTCTAACAACTTAAGGACTTGCCTACCTGACCATAAGTCAAAATGTTAAACTATAAAATACACTACATAATTCCAGTTCTCTAACTTCAGGGAGGCTCAGGAACCACATGGAAGCCTGTGAAGCATTTTAATGCAGATTCCTTAACCTCACTTCCAAAGATTCTGATTCTGTAGCTCTGAAGTAGAGCCTGGACATGTATTTTGACAATACAGACCAAGAATTTGGAAATGAGCACTCTAAACATATTTTAATTAATGGAGGTTCAGCATATAAAATCATTAGCGTGGGTCAAATTATGTCATTATCCTCACATTGTACAATTTATAACAATGGTTTTCAACTTTTGGGGAAAATCAGAGAACCTTTTGAGAAACTATATGACCTTTCCACCAAAATATGCATGTATACACACAAGATTTCAAATACAATAAGAGGTTCATGCATCTTCTGAAAGCCCAAGTAAAGAAATGCAAGCTGGAATGATGTTACCTATTACATAGTTACACACAAAGTCAAGTGAAATTCTAGGTTCTTCAGTAAACATTTTGGGTTACTTTATACAAAGTATCTTTGATAATGGGCATAATTACATCAATTTCCCATAAGAATTATTTGGCATCCATAAAAACCGCTGGAAAGGTCAGGTTCAGCAAGAATCACTGTCATTCTCAAAAAGTTGTTTTCCTTACTCAAAAAAGCTTTAGTCATCACCAAGTTTCTAGCATTATAAAGAGGTGAAGAATCCTCGGCACATGAAACAATCAAAATAGGAATGATCTCCAATGCAAAAAGGTTTCCCATAGACTCCTATCAGAACTGTAAACATGTTTTACAGCTAAATTACTTGAATTGTAACTTTAAATATCATATAATATAGCACATAATATTTTACATGTTATCAGCATGGACAGAGCATCTTATGAAAACTGAAACAAATCTTTAAAAAGTTAAACTAAGACATTTACCTGAACTATCTATTTTAGCAATATCAAACAGCTCAAGTTCACATGGTATTTGCTAACTGGATTTTGAGGACTCTAATCAAGTAAGACTTTACTTAGCACTACATTAGTATCATTTCCATATAAAAAATGGGCTAAAGAGAAATTCAGACTGTTTAGTAAAAATGTTTTTAACAAGTAGCTTTAAAATAATAGAACTTGACAAAAGTTCAACTTACTAAATGTATTAAGATTTTTTAAAACTCTGAAGTAGATATTATATTACATAGTAGAAAAAAACTCCCCAAAAGCCCCTGTCCAGGAAGAACAAGGACATCAAGATGTTCTCAGCAATTTCCTCAACAGCAGGAAATGAAAGGCTGGAGATGCCAAGGCTTTGATCAGTTTACTTTTTTTTTTCTCTGAATAGGCTTACTCATTATTAACTGATGAAAGATAACACACATATGATATTAAAAACTAAAAATCTAATGGTTCTACTATCATGACTGTCAGTTAATGCTCAAGTAAGAAAAAAGTTCTTTTGGTTCCCTAGCTCTCTGGGGGGAAAAAAAAGTCTACCTACTGGACCATTTTAGAACTGTGTAGCTTTTATTTTACATTATTAACATCAATTGTAGGAAGCTGATTTACTGATTCAGATAATTATATCCTCCAGGGCAACACTATGCCCAATTTCATGCTAATGAAAAGTTTCTTTAGTTCTATAAATGGTCATGTTTCTTGCTTATTTCCACAACTCATTCAAATGATTGTTTCTACAACATAAAAATATAAGATGCACTGGGGCCCATCTTGGATTTTTTTCTTCTGATGAAAAACTAGCAGATTATTTCTAGGTGTAATTTAACTGAAAACACTACTTCAACTTCAAATTTATTTTAATGATATGTACAGAATTTAACAAATTACAATTAAAATGGAATCAGTTATGTTAATTACACATAACTTAATATCATGCAACACTGCATGGTAAAAACAACAGCTTCATTCATATACAAAAAAGTATTATTTTGAGACTTGTGATAGTATATTGAAATTTTTGACATAAGCTTTTTGTAAAGAGTATTTCATAAAAATTTAAAGACCTGATTAATCAGTTAATACATTATTAGGAAAGATAGTAAACATTACTAGTAAAGTGAGACTACAAGCAATTAAGTTGAAAATTATACCAGATACAGGGTTGGATGTAGTCTCGTGAAATAAATGTTTGGTTAAGAAAATAGTTTTGAAAAAGATCTCATATTGAAGCTATGTATTAACTTTGTGAAATCAGGTTATATAAATCAATAGTCAAGTTTATTCAGTTAAAGAAAATATGCCTATCCTTTCTTATACTCATAAATAAGTACTTATACAGTCTTTATATACAAGTGAAGAAAAATTCAATGTAAAAATATACTGCCAATCCACTTCTTATGGTTGAAATAGCTCTTTATCTACACATTAAACTGCATTGATGAAAATGTCCAATTCATATCACATTCAACCAGCATAAATATTTAAGCTGTATTGTTGTAAACAAAAGAGAAAAACAAATTCTTTTATTTCATCACTGGGTAACAATCTACTTCTCAACTTAGAATGCTACAGAAAGGCTCAACATTTAATCAAATCCAAACCCACTGAACCTGGAGTAAACAAAGTGAATGTTTTCAAAGTGCATAATTTCCAACTCATCCACTTGTAATATTTATCCAATTCCAGTTCATCAGCGAGAAAATAAAATGTACTTAGCTATAAAAATACTAAGGAATGTTATTGAAAAGGAAAGGCTATTTGGTAGAAGTAACTACAAAAATAATTAGTTTAAATCTTCATAAAGCTTTAATGCAAGAACATCAGTACACTTTCTTTCCATAAACCTTAAAGCATGATCAATACCAGGATTTTAAATTTCCACCTTTCCAGTACTTGAAAAGAAGTTGCAATGAAGTGTCTCTTCAAAAAGCAAGAAGAATGATCATGCAGGTGTTACTCTGCTGACATTTGGGGACATGGATAACTCTGCTGGGTTGTCATCTCTGGCTCCACTGGCAGCAAGTACAGGCAAGGAGTTACTCTGAAATGCAGACGTTGGACAACTAGTCATGCCAACATTTTCATCTTCACCATTGTCTGAATCTGGTGTTGTAACTTCACTGTCCTGAAGCCCCAGGATCTCACAAACTGCTTGTGGCAACTCCTGAATAAGAAAAATCAAATATAAAATCATCATTCACCATAGAGGAAAAGTAATCACAAATTAACACTTCTATTTAATACTACATCTAAGCATTTGCTTTAACAGTGTAATTGTTATGCACCCTCTCAAACCATCCTTCTCCACTCCAAATGAAACCCTTAACCACTGTTTTTAATAAGTGGTTCTCTGACCTTCTATTCTGAATTAGCCACTCTCCACCCCATCCCACCACTCCCACAAGCATATTGTTTTCTAATATTTTGCATTTATTTCATTCTCCTTATTGACACCATCTTTCTCCCTCAATACACAGAAGTTCCTTAAACATAAGAAGTATCTCACTGACAGGTTTTTTGGGTTTTTTAAAAAATTTATTTTGGCTGTGTTGGGTCTTCATTGCCGCACACGGGCTTTCTCTAATTGTGTCGAGCAGGGGCTACTCTTCGTTGCAGTGCATGGGTTTCTCATAGCGGTGGCTTCTCTTGTTGCGGAGCACGGGCTCTAGGTGCACAGGCTTCAGTAGTTGTGGCTTGCGGGCTCTAGAGCACAGGCTCACAGTTGTGGCGCATGGGCTTAGTTGCTCCGCGGCATGTGGGATCTTCCGGGACCAGGGCTCGAACCCATGTCCCCTGCATTGGCAGGCGGATTCTTAACCGCTGCGCCACCAGGGAAGCCCTCACTGGCAGGTTTTGAACAGAACAGCTATCAGATAACTGTGTGTAAAACTGAACCAAAATAAATATTTGGAACCATGATCAAATGACACGAAGACCAAATAAGAATTCTCATAAAAAATATGAAAACCAAAATACATCAAAAGTCTAATACTTTGGTTTAAATTCAGAACATAACACATCAACTTTGCCTTGTTTTTAGAGATTATTAAGAGTTTGACTGATACAAATGTAATGACATAGACCAAATACTCTTCATTTAATTATTTCTGATTAGCATGTCTTTACTTAAAGATACTACATATTTAATATGAGGTCCTATTCTGTGTTCTTTGATTAGGTAATTTATCAATGCTTCTGCAGCCTCTTTATTGTTTTCATTACTTTTGTCATTTTGCCTTATTATTATATGTTTCCTATCTAGCATAATTAACCAATTGTTTTCAATTAAGTGCTGTAAATTTATAATGGTAAACAAATGCTAGCCAATGCTTTGTGTCTGCCTTCAACTTGCTGCCAATTTTACTTCTGAAAGGAAAAATTCTTTCTTGACCTCAATCCACCAAAAATATATGAACAAAAAAATCTTACAATTACTTAAAACACTGTATACCTTGCATTTTACCATCTGTAGAGAAATTGCTTCTGCCTTGCATAGTACATCTTCCACATCAATTTTCATGGACAATTCATTGATATGCTAAAATAAATCAATAAAATAAAATAACTGAAACACTATTATATTCTACTATACAACTTATTACCAGTTATATTACATTGTAGATGAAATCCTTAAAATAAAAACACCCTCATACTACAAGTGAACAGGAAATTTAATATATCTTTCATTAGATCATTTCAAGTTTTAAAGCTAAAGAATAGCTAATAAGCTTACGGAACATTAAATCCAGCAGTTGTCCCAAGTCTACTATCTCAAGTTATAAGCAAAAGAATTATTTTTTTAGAAAATTGAACTACATAAAAGAGCACTTGCTGAATTTCCTTTTCTTCCTAATTAGCTAGGAAAAATAACTGGCAATACGTACTTGCTGAACTGTCATTCTCAGAGAGTCAGTCCTAGTACTGACTGTCATTGATAAAATTTAAATTACTTGAGGGATTCAATAATGTTCCAAGGAAATGTATGTATATCAATACCACCAAAAAGAGGAAAGAGCCAAAATATTAAAATTTAAGTTAAAGTAACAACTACCTTAAGTATTTCATTAAAGCCATAATGCTTTTCCATTATTTGCTGCTTTTCTGATTCCAGAATAGCACAACAGAGAAGAAGATGGAAATTTTTACATGGTAGTTCAGTCCACATTACCTATAAAAAATAGAACACCTATTTAGTAAACTCTATCAATTCTAAAATATTTTCCTCACAGATACAATGCTGAACTCTGAATGACTTCTGTGCAAAGCACGAGTTGCCTTGATGGGGTAGTCCACTCTTTTTCTAGTTAAATGAGGTGTGGGGAAGGAAAGTCTTACTTTTACCTACAAAGTAACTATTATATTAATAGTTAATATAATATTAACTATTATATGAATATGATGAGTTCCAAATGTGGCTCTTTAGGTAACTACAGTAACACTGAACCTAACCAGTATGATAAATGGTATTAACTAAGGAGCCACAGTCATGAGGTTAAAGTGTAAGGGCCAGAGGCATTTCCAGTGTTTTTCTGAACCTTCAGTTTTTCACTTTTAAATCATCTTCAGTCTCGGTGGGGCGGGGGGCGGGGAGGGGTACAGGGGAGCTAAATCATGGGAATAAAGATTCAGTTATACACTGCATGGAATTAAAAACACCCAGAGGTAGCTCTACATTCTAAACATCATATTATATAACTCAGAATATCTCTGACAAAAACTGAATTGACCACCCAAAATTTATACCCAAATGTATAAAACATTCGATCAATAGCTGCACTTCTTCCTAAGTATAGCCAATGCCCTAAAACTTAAGTTCTTAATTTCCCCCTGGTTAATGTACCTAATAATATCTTTTTTAGAAAGATCAAAAGAGCCATGTAAACACTATTATTAAAGCATACCTGAAATGTTTTTACTTCTTTTACCAGAAGTAAATTAAGCAGAATAATTTTCAGACTAAATCCAATTCTTAAAAGTTTAATTACAATGCAATTAACCTCAAAAGTTTCATTAAAAGTTCCAATTTATTTGGTAAACACAGACTAAGGAGTTATTACAGCTATGTTGATAATTTTTTAAAAAGAAGTTGAGATAACAATTTAATAAAATTGATTAACTTTAAAATATGATTCTGGGTCAAGAACATGTGCGTTTTCCTTCTAATTTCAAACAAAGAAAGTGATCCTCCATAAAGTGGTGATCCTTCAATCAGTGCATCACCTTCTCTAATGGCAGCACAGTCACCAGAAGTACAGGAATCAATTTCCAGGTGTAAAAGCCTCAGGGTGCCCACTGTATACAAGTCTATTTATTATCCAAACAGATTATTTCCCCCATTCTTTCCTTGGGAATATTTCTGTCATCTTTACTTTTATAAAGACAAGGCATCAAGCAGTCATTATACCAATATTCTATTTCAAAAGCACATCCATCTGTTAACTTAACAATTAATAGATGTATAAGAAAAAAATAATAATTTTCTGTTTTTCATCAAGAGTTGCCCTGGGTGCAAGAGGGAATAAAAGGATATAAACCAAAAACATGATCATGAATATCCTCTAGAGAGGGGAAGACGGAAATGGGGCTTGGGGTGGTGATTAAAGATATGAGCTATATCTTTAAATACTTTTTGTCTTGGAAAGAAAGAGAAAAAACCAGAAGTGGATACGGCAAAATATTTACATATGTTAAATGTGGATAGTGGGATATTTGTTATATTATTCTTAGTATTCTGCTATAACTTAAAGTTCTTTAAAAAAGCAAAACACAAGTCAGTTCCCTCCCAATATTTCAGACTACAAATAAAGTACTATCTCAATTGACTGGCCTGCCAAAACTTCCTTAACTCTATTCAAATCTACACCCAAATGTGGCAGGGCCTCACATAAAGTCAAGCCTTCCAAGGAAAGAACACAGGCACAAGTGGTCCAGAGAACTGGTTCTGGGAAACTCCCTGGCACCCAATCGCACAAGGATTTGATTTACAGAAAAAAGCTCCAAAGACCACACATTCATTTCAAGATGGTTAATTTTTTTTTTTTTTAAGGAGAGACCACAAACCATTAGAATTTTCAGAACGTAACTGCTTTAGAAATTTCAGTCAAGATATTATAATCCATTTACACTCTACAGATACAAAATGTTTCCATAAAAAATATTAATTTTTACAGTAATTTAAGAACTTACCTCCCATAATCGAAGAATATCTAGAAAACTAAATTCCCTTTTAAATCTGATTAAAAGCCATCTGAAGCAAAAATAAAGGTATCCAGAGTCCTGGGATTCTACACAGAAAAAAATATATATATGGCTTACTCATGCTAATTATCTCAGAATACAGTGACCTATTTCAAACTCAAGTTTTTCTATTCATCTTAGGCTATTAAAAGTCCTATAAATTTAATTGCCTTCTACTAATTCAAGGAAACAATTTAAATTTGCAGGCTAACTTCTTTAAAAGAAAACCACCAAATAACAACAAATACAGTTGACCCTCCATATCTGCAGGTTCTGCATCCGTGGATTCAACCAATCATGAATGGAAAATTTTCGGAAAAAAAAAATTTCCAGAAAGTTCCAAAAAGCAAAACTTGAATTTGCCTTGCCTAGCAACTATTTACATAGTCTTTACATTGTATTTACAACTATTCACACAGCAGTTATATTGTGTTAGGTACAATAAATAATCTAGAGATGATCTAAAGTCTACAGGAGGATGTGCGTAAGTTATATGCAAATACTGCACCATTTTATGTAAGGGACTTGAGTATCCTCAGGTTTTGGTATAGGGGTGGCGGGTGGGTCCTGGAACCAATCCCCCACAAATAATGAGGGACAACTATAATTCACTTTATAAACAAACTGTTTTAAGGCAAAATTATACAAGGACTGTTTGGTCCCACACTTTTATTCCTCAGAGGAACCCAGGCAACACTGGTAGAGTATATACATCTTTAAAAGAGCTCTTTACATTTTTTCTCTGTTAGTATTACCTTACAATTTGCTGGGTATAGTTTTGTTTCATTAAACTTACCTAAGTAACTGCAAAATCCACTGTCCAACAATCGAAGTAAGGTACTTAGCTGAATTAGCTGGGTCTTCATGCCTTGCATTTGTTCTTCAAAATTTTGATGCTTTAAAAAAATAAATGTTATCACATAAGTTATATTTAATAAATATTTTACAGTACATAATCACCGATAACTATGCCATGAATATAATGACAAATGCTGGATTTATACCACACTGGTTATATTTTAAAATCACAACTAATTAAAATGCTAAAGCAACATCAAAAAGGAGGAAAGAGAATCTTTGGTCTCAAACTAAGAATTATTTTTTCCCTCTATTCATTTTTTTTTTAGATAAAGAATAATGCAGAGACAGCAGGGGTAGACTGACTGATATATCAATACTTATTTCTTACGTCAAATAAGAGACTTGGTGAATGGAACACACATTGGAAAATAGACTTTTATCAAATCACTTCACTGTTAAATATTTCTTCAATTTAACATATGAAATAAAATTAATTTTAGCTTTAACATATCATGTTAAAGAATTAGCTAATTATTTCTTAGATTTGATGACATTAGGGAATCTATGAAGTCAAAACCATTTCATAACAACACTAACACAATCTATGCATTTTGCACTTTAAATTCCCCCGTAAGTGTAAAGGCTATATGATGTGTGATATTGCAACAGACTGCATACAGGAGCGGATATGCAAGTCAGCTGTGTTCTATTAAACTAAACTACTAAACTAAACATTAAAGAAAATGAAAAATGGAAAATAATCCCTCTTCTCAGTAAACTGTTTTGGAAAAGTTATTTTTCATTAAAAAAAAATGTATGTATACCAAGATGTAGCAGTTTACTGTCATTTTTAGATGAATGAATAAATAAATATTTATAAATTTCCTAGCATTAATTTTTCATATGACAAACATCAATAGATATAACCCAATAGATATAGCTCTTGGAATCCGCAATAATATTTAAGAGTGTGAAGGGGTCCTGAGATCATAAAGTTTGAGAACTACTGTGGTTACACATGTTTTAAATAATCTTTGAAGTTTAACAGATTCCCTACCAACACTTCAGTCAAGATTTGGGGATGGGGAGTGCACCAAAATAAAGGCTTCTTAGATGATTCTGATCCCTTTAACCCTAGTGTTCTAACCCCTTTATGGTGAACTACTGCCCTAACCTTTGTGAAAAGCCTAAGAACAACATCCCCTCCTTCACACTTTTTTCGTTCCTGAGACAATAATAGTGCTTTATTAGAAGTATCCATCTGATTAGAAACCATTCATTCCTGGTAAAAAAAATTTTGAAAATTAAGGGCTACTGATTCTCAATAAAATGGCTTCTCTTCAGTGATTTAAATAGTTTAATTAGTGAACGCAATAGTTTAACAGACTAACGCAAGCCTTTGGGATATAGTTTCTTCACATTTCCCACATGGAACTATAAGGGAAAGGCAGAATTAACTCTTTGATTAACAGCATAATTTTTGTTGTGACATGACCAAAAGCTAAAATTGGTGTGGAAGTACCAACATGGCATAGCCACTGCTACCCACTCTGCTATAAAAAGCAGCACTCCCAAAATGACAGAAGCCGACTTCAGAAAAGTAGCTACTCCTGGAGAAAGGGCAATGAGGTCAACAGTGGATATACACAGGGCATCAAGTGTAACTGTAAATAAATATGTGTGTGCATACATATACATAGGAATGCACATATGCATGCATGCATACATATATGTATATGTACATGTATACAGGTGTGTGTGTGTGTATATATGGATGGGGGTGAGAAGGAAGGGTGGGACAAAACTATATGGCAAAATGAATGGTGGCTATAAGAAAGTTCGTCAGATCATTCTGCAAATATTTCTATATTTCGAAAACAAAGTCTATGCCTAGACCTACATTAGATGTGAGTAAATATCAACAAAAGTAAATCTACAGACACTGAATTCAGCTTCACTAAAGTAGTTAAAACTTATGTTAAATAAATCCATAAAACAAAAAGGAGTCAAACAGCAGCACAGATTCAAGGACACCAAAACAATAGCAATGCAGTGAAAAATAATTGTGCGGATTATTTTGATTGTAACTTACTGCCCTTTCATTCAAATATTATGAAGCAAAAGATGTTAGTAGACAATATATTAAGAGATCTTTTTAGAATAAAGACTAGAAAAATCCCCAGACCATTCTCAATGGAAAAGGCAAACAGAGAACATTTACTGTGAAAGAGACAGAACAAAGAACTTGAACCTTCATACACAAAAATGACAAATAGACTGTGAAGTGGTACACTGCAGATGTTCAGAAAGTAGTCTTTACATTTGACACCTAAATGCATGCACACATATGCATGTACGTATGTATTTGGCACCACAAGCCAATATATTTGAACATGCCAATATTAGCTCAGTTTTATGAAAACTATTACTGTAAAACACTAAATGCCGTGTGTTTGTGCTAACTCTTGGAATACCTACTGTAAGTAGAGCTCTAAACTAAGCACTGGGGAAATATTCATGTGTTTATTCTACAAAAATCTGTTGAACAAAAACCTCATGTCAGGCATTAGGAAAATTCTGGAAGCATATCAGAGAACTAGTTAAACAAAGACATGACCCCTTTATCAAGGTGCATACTAGCTCTAGTGAAAAGAGGATAAACAACAAAAACACAAGGAAAGCAGACAACAGTTTCTAAACAATTAGTTATCAGTTGTACAGACCTTTATAACAAATGCCTCAGGTTTCTAGAGCACCTGGGAGTAATTGGAACTAAGAAGGCAGGTAAAATCAATCAATCAAAAGGTAAGGAATACAAACTATGATATTACCATATTACTGCAATTAATAATCTTTCCAAATAATCCAAAAACATTAATTCATGGTATCTTATCAAGTATGGAAAAGAACTAGGAGAAGTGAGGATGAGTTGGAACCATGGATAAGAGACTTGAGGAAACAGATAAAATTGGGACAAATTAGAAGGGGAAACAAAAAACAGGCAAGCAAGAGAGGAAGAATGGAAGTAATCAAAAAATAGAACTAATCAAAAAATTTCACATCTGTATCCCAGACTCTCCACTACAGGGAAACATTTTATATGACTACATATTCAAATCTTTATTCCCTTGCAAGCAAGCCATTTCAATATCCAACCATCAAGGCCCAGCAACAAGTATATTTATTTTATTTTGAAACAGTACAGTGACCTATGTAGTCAGGTCTTTGGATTTCATACGCTTTTATATGCTCTTAGCCCCTTTGCTTTTTTTTTCCCCTTTCTAATAGATTACTTGAGAAGACTGTTCTATTTTCCTGTTAATACTGTACTATTGTCCTAGAACTCTGTCTTCAAGATATATCAATGATAATAGATAAAATGTTCCTTATAATAATATGTATATATAGACACAGTTCAACTCTAATAATCGCATGCTTAGGAAAAAACTAAGAAGCTGTCAACGTTACAAATAGTTCAAACACATCTGGAGAAAAATCAGCCACTGTAATGACAAAATACAAAATGTTCACAAAAGGTAAGGATATTACTTGGCATGACTAAGCTTTATCTCTGAAACAGATGATATGAAAGTTCAACTACTTCACAAGAACTGAAATCATCTATTTCATCAATATTCTATAATGACTCATGGTTCTTCTGCAGATCATAAGCATTTACCAATATTAAATCCTGATTATTCCTGTTCTATAGGCACTTACTATCTACTTTTTGTATTAAAAACAATACCAGTATTTCCAAGCCTCTTGAAAAGGCTATTTAAAAAAGAAACAAACAACATAGAGCAGTTTTTTTAAGTTCTACCATAATTGGCTAAATATAAACATCAATCTTATAAGATTATTATGCAACTAAAATTTTCAGAATTAGTTTGGAATGGAACCTTACCATTTGGTCCATGTAGGAGGCAAAGCACCAAAAGGCATCTACTTCATTTTCCATCACATATAAAAGAGGGGAAAGTAAGTCACTCATTCCTTGCACATATCCTAAGAAGAACAGAAAAAACTAATCATATCTCTAAAAACCTAAGCTTTATGTATCCATCTGTGCATACCACCACCATTTCACTTAAAACTGCATCGTTTTTCTTGGTTTCAGAAACTGGTCGATACTGATGTTTGTAAGGAGGAGGAAATCTAGCAATCAGGTGAGAAAGGTGAGTTGTTTTGTACTGAGACGTCAACAGATACATAACTGCTAGTATGTGTCTTAGTGTAGATATCATTATCAAGAGAGGGTAATATTATTAAAAAATAATGTGCAAAAGCATTATGATAAAGAAGAGGGGTGAAGGGAAACCCAGAGGAATATCAAATTTAATAAATATTAAAACAAAAAAAAGTCAAAGGGAAGAAAGCTGCAAGGCCAGAGTAGTCAACCACCACCAAACTACGATGAATAAGCCCAGTAAAATAAGAACTAAAAAGGGTCCAACTGCTTTATCAACCAGACACTGGTAATCTACCCAAAAGGAATCACAACAAAATTACCTCTTTTAAGTGGTTGTATTTATGTTCTCTTTCTTTTTTCCTTTTGCTGTTACTCTAGACCCAACCAATGCTAGCAAATTGGGCTTATTTAATCCAATCAATATTTTGTACCTAAAGCTACCATCTTAACCACCTTTCTCTTGTGCTCTTATAATTTCTCATCATGACACTAATTTGCAGCGCTAGATTAAAAGAAAAATTGGAAAGTTAAAGAATCAGGCCCCTCACTTAAAAAACAAACAAAAAATCTTAGTTTTGCTTTTCACCTGACCATGTCAAACGTCTTATTTTTTAGTTCCATCTTATAAAATCCTCAATTTTCTTAATTGTTTTACAATTAGATTTCAGACTTAAGATACAGATTCTTGAATCCACAAAGGGACAAGAGCTCTTACTAAGCCTTTTCACATACATATCATTCAACTTTGGTAACTTTTGTACATTCATTAAAGTCACATAGAGATTTTTTTCCCCAGTGATAGCTTGGGAAGTCTGTGGAAAACATACAGTCTTTCATTTGCAGAACCAACACTTACATTCTTATCGTTCACCAATATCTGTGTGCAATGAAGCCATTTAAAACAGTATACATTTTTAAAAGGGAGGGGATACTTCTGCTTGCAGTTATACATAATTTTACATCACTCTTCCTATTCTGGAAGACAACTTTAAAAACGACCCCAGGAAGCATGTAAGCCAAAGTCTCTTGAGAAAACTCAGATTAAAAGTATAACAGAAAGAGACAGTTCACTTCAGGATCTCCTTACACATAAAAGTTTAGCTCTATCTGCTCTTAGCCTCTACCCTGTTGAAATGGAGCAGGACCCTACGGTCCTTGCACCCCACATCCTCAACCTGCCTTTTGTCTGTGGAAAAACTTTAGCCAAAGAATAAGTTTAATCAGAGAAGTGAGAAAATGCTGAAACAAAGGAAAACAGTCAAAGGAGACCAAATAATAATAGTTCAGTCATTAAGCACAGTCAAGGATCTTTAGTTCCTTCTTAAGAACTGTAGATAATATTCTGAGCCATATCCTGTGAGCTGTCTTAAAGAAGCTGAAACCCCCAGCAGGTGGAAGAAGTTAACTACATGATGACCAGGCTGCAGCCATGAGCTGCCACAATTCTGAGAACTGGCCTCAAAGAAATGGAAACAAACCGACCCTAGAACTGAAGATTAACTGTACCTAAAACAATCAAGATGATGCTGATCAGACCACCGATGACCAATTTCAAGATGACTGTCAGAGCTGACTGTGCTGTTTCTGCATGTAGCCCCCTCCCTCCGTCTATAACAGCTCTTGCCCACTGACTGTCAGTGGTGGAAGTTGGCCTCTGGACAGACGTCTGCCCTTACCACCCCCCGACCCCCACACTGACAGTATCCAAAACAAAACAAACTTTCCTTTCCGCCAACCTGGCCTCTTTATTGGCTTTTGAGCAACGAGCAGCCGGACCCCACTTTCAGTTACAATACCATCTACTGCTACGCCTAATCCCTCCCAACCTCACTATGTCTACACTACACCCTGCGGAAAAGTATGTCTCTACGCACGTTAGCACACACACAAAAAAACTTAGGTTCCCATGGCAGGTATCCAATTATTACAGTACCAAACAATGGAGTTACCAAGACATTTAGAGAAAAGTGCTAGAAAAAATGGCATACGACATGATATCTAAATGTAAGCATTTATACAAATTTATTACAGATGCTTTTTTTAAAATAATACATACGACATGATTAATTCTGTGTGTCAACTTGAGTGGGCCACAGGATGCCCAGATGTCTGGTTAATCATTATTTCTGGGAGTATCTGTGAACGTGTTTCTAGAAGAGATTAGCATTTGAATTGGTGAACTGATTAGAGCAGATGGCCCTCAGCAATGTGAGGAGGCATCACCCAATCCACTGAGGACCTGAATAGAATAAAAAGATGGAGGAAGACTGAATTTGCTCTCTGCTTGGCTGGTTGAGCTGAGACAGCGCTTTGCCCTCAGTGCTCCTGGCTCTCATGCCTTCAGACTCAGGACTAGCATCTACACCACTGGCTCTCCTGCTCTCAGGTCTTTAAACTACACCACCAGCTTTCTTGAGTCTCCACCTTATAGATGGCAGACTGTGGGACTTTTCAGTCTCCATAATCACATGAGCCAGTATCTTATAAGAAATCTTTTTTTTTCTTTACTTCTTTCCCTGACTAATACAACACTTTTAAGAAAGAATAAGTAGGTTAGAAGGAAGACTAGACTGTTATCATCAGAACTTTCCTACATGGCAATGACACAGTGAAAGCAATGACAAATATAAAAGCTAAACCAATTAAAGCATGAAGGAAATTTATGTGAATTCAACAAAGTGGAAAAGAGTACCACTTTCCTGGGTCTGACCACATATAGTCTGTAACAGAAATATTTCAAAGCATGCTGTTCGAAAGGTTTACAAAGCACCTTTCCTCTGGGGGGGAAAAGTGCTTTATTATAAAGTTATAATGAATAAAAATGTCTAAGAAGCTAATTTAATCCTTTAAGTCTTCAGCTTTCATACGGGATCACTACCATAAAGTTTTAGTTAAAGCAAGCAGTCAAATTAATCTTCATATTCTTGTTGCTTTTAATCTATTTTATTTTATACATGATGTTCTTTGGGGTATGTCATGAGTTGTGGGTGTGGAATTAATGTACAAATTCCTTTTAATTAAAGAAAGATTAAAGCTGTTTAAATTAGCATTCAGTGATGCTCAAATTCTGCACTAGTGCTGACTGATGTGCATCTTAATCAGCACTACTACAATTTCTGAACTAGTTCCCCAAAATTATTTTCATAGCAAAGTTGTTTCAGTGTGGAGGTGTGAGAAATGAACTCCTTACCATCCTAGTGTACACATTCTTAAAGAGAAAAGAAAAATTTCATCTATATACAGGTGAACATTCCAGGTTAACTGAAGCTTATTCGGTTATTAGAGGATCAATTTTATTTTTTTAAATCTTAAGAGGTGGAAATCATTTTTTTTTTAACTAGACACTCTCCTGCCTTCTTACATACAGTATTTTGTGTATAATTTAACCTTTTACTGCTTATTCAGGGTCAGATTATGAACATACACTGTAAAAAAAAAAAAAAAAAAAGATACCTCCCATAGAAACAACTTAGATATAGTGTCTGCACTAACTAAAAATTACTCTTCCTTGAGTTCTTCTGTCTGCTTTTGTTAATTTTTATCTTCTTCCTCACTATTAATGAAACTATATTCAACACAAATACACCTACATCTCATCTATGGGCTAAGAAGCCAAACAACTCAATAGGAAAGAATCAACTGTAAGAGTAAATTTACAGCCCGGATTACTTTGCTATGAGTAAAAAGCAAGAAATTTGGTCCAGTGCTTTATGAAAACTACCCTGGCTTCTCCCAAGGCCAAAGTTCTTAATAAAATCCCTGGGTATGTTTCAAATAATTTAAAGTATTTGACTGGAAAGAATGTGGCGTTAATATAGACAAACGGGAACAGCAATTTATCCAAATAGCTGGTCTGGGACCCAGTTCCTGAAAAAACTGAGCATTCAGGAACTCCTTCTGAGAATATGCATTAATTCCTATCTCAAAATTACCAACTTAGAGTACAGGGCAATGCCTCTTGTTCCCTAGGACGACAGCCCTATTCCCCACAGTGGTTAACAGAAACTAAAATGGTAATGGGTCAGGGTGCTGAATGTGTAGAGGTAAGAATGCCAGGCTGCAATAAAGACCTGGGTCTCTACCCCCAGTCCAATATTTACTACTTGTACAACCCTGAGTCACAGTCTAAATCAATATAACTTTACTTATATAGTGGGGTTATTTCCCCACTTCTTCAAAAGGCTTCTAACAGAATCAAAATTGAAATCAAAATTAAGTAATAACAACATTCTGTAACCTAAGAAGCAATCTACTAATATTTTCAACAATCCAATTTGAGGCTCACTATAGGTGTGATAGACAGGACTGCTGGCTACATTTCACATTTTAAAGAGAAATCTGTGATATTCAACTACTGTCACCAGAGGCTGATGCCTCAAGATCCACAACAGAGTTTACATCTTCCCCTAACTTACATATAAGAATCCAAAAGGAATTCTTTTGGATCAAGTTCTCTTGTCCCTTAAAATATTGGTTCCTTAGGCTTTCTATCCCTTAGCATCGCTTCCCTATGCAATCCCCCCAACTCCCACCACCAACCCCAGTCTTTCCAACTCATTCTTGGTAGAAAACAGACTAACCAAGAAAAGAGAGTAAAGCTCCACATGCCCTAGATAATTATATGCACCATTTGTCTATAATATCAAATCAGCATTTTTCTTCACAAGGGATAAGCCTATCAAAAAAAGGTTCCCAAACTTTCTCAATTCACAGTACCCTTAGTGCCTCAGGAATTGTTTTCCAAGGCACCCCTAGGCTCAAAAATATTACTAACAATTTCCATTTATTAAACAGATCCAAACAACTTAATTAATATTTATATCCTATTTAACTTAGCACCTGTTGGGCACTACACTACTCAAACCTTGGAATCCAATTGGATGCCACCATCCTCATCTATTTTCACACAGTACTTGCTTATCATGGCAAGGCCAAAAACTCTGCTTTGTAAAGATATAACTTCATCAGAAGGAGTCTGGTGATCTAATGATGAAACCCTGAACTACTCCAGTTAGTAGTTAGAGCAGTGTCCTACAGATGTCACTATATTTCCCTCAAATATTTAAAATATCCCACATTGTCCCCATGAGTTTGCATGAGCAACCCAGTGCTCCTTGGTGCACAATTTGGGAACCAAAGCCTTTTAAGTTTCCAGTCCCCTGTGGAACACCCCTATAAGAACTAGGCCACAGAACTATTTACATGTTCCTAACAGGTTAATAAATTTAAATTCTAAAATAAACATACATAGTATCTTTAAATTAGGATGTTAGAGGAGAACTTACCTAAATCAAAATCATACATACAGTAGGTCATCAAAATGTCATGAAGCAAAATCAACCCTGGATTATCTTGGCCTTCATAAAACTTGTTTGTTCGATCTGTTCTGTTAACATCTTTTTCTGAGGAAGAAAATCATCACATATTTGAAAACCTTTAGAATAACAGATTTTTATAAAGCTCACATCTTACAAGTACAGAGTTATTCTTCTTGTTATTAATCTTACTCTCTTGCCAAGCTTTTAAAATGAAAAAATTCATCAAATTCCATTTCAGATATGCAATAAAGTAACATTTTGGAATTTTTTTCCGAAGTCAGTCAACCTCCTCTTGGGTATATTTTAAAATATTTTTCAATTTTTATCTAAACATAGAAATCTTTTAATTGAATAGTAGGAAATACATTCAATTAATTAAAACCAACACCAAGTAATAGTTCACATTAGTTAGCAATAAAAATGCCAGTCATGGGCTTCCCTGGTGACCCTGTGGTTAAGAATCTACCTGCCAGTGCAGGAGACATGGGTTTGAGCCCTGGTCCAGGAAGATCCCACATGCCACGGAGCAACTAAGCCCGTGCGCCACAACTATTGAGCCTGCACCCTAGAGCCCGTGAGCCACAACTACTGAAGCCTGAGCGCCTAGAGCCTGTGCTCTGCAACAAGAGAAGCCACCACAATGAGAAGCCCGTGCACTGAAACAAAGAGTAGCCCCCGCTCACTGCAACTAGAGAAAGCCCGTACAGCAACGAAGACCCAAAGCAGCCAAAAACAAATAAATAAAATAAATTTATATATATAAAAAAATGCCAGTCATGAATACATGTGATAGGCAGTATTATTTGAAAACAGTAATGAAAAAAGTTACTATGCAATCAAGTGCAATCAAACAGATTTGTTTCATTCATAATTGCTTCATTCATTATGAGAAGTACTGTCAACTTCTTTGTCATGTTCCATAACCATCTTTAGGACAAATTACTTCTTTATTCTCATATATACATTATTCAGTTTACATATAAAATAAATAAATAAATAGTTTACATATAAAATAAGCAATCTATTTTAATTTTGAAAAAAAAAGAAAATCCACATTTTTCTGGAAATGATTTTAAGACATTAAAAAGTTTTAGAAACATCACCAGGAGTGTATCTCAAGTTGTACTGACAATTCAATTAACAAACACTGATACCTGCTAGATGCATCTTGTTGTGAAACAACTAAAAAGGCATTCCCCAAACTTCAATCCCTCAGTAAATTATGAAAAAATAATTTAAAGAAATTTAAAGTGATTAATTTACTCTATAATCAATTTTGTTTAAAAGTTATAACTGTCCTCTCCCCCCATTAAATTTAATAATCTGAAAACATTCTCAATAATTGTTGTGAAGAGATGAGGAGGTATTTTACAACAAAGCAACCTAAACTCATGACATGAGTTTAGATTCTATAAGGGCATTTTAAAAATCAGCAGAACAATATTCTAGCTTTTTGTTGAGCTATCTTAAAATAGCTTAATAAATATAAATATAGCATATATCTATAGAACTGTGAATACATTTTTCAAACAAGGAAAAGCAATACCAAAAAATCATGCTATAAATGTCAAATTTTATTTAAAAACACCAAAATGTTTCATTCTCATATCATAGTTGATAGAGGTACATAAGTTATTTTTTATTAACTCAAGGACAATTTACATAGTCATAATGCCAATACAGAATATCTGCATTAATAGGTGTTTTAAACACAGTAAAAAGTTATTTGTGCCCTCATGAACTGTCTCTCTTTCCTCTTGTATAGTTATTTAGTACTGACATGCCAGGCAGAAACCAAAACGTATTAACAATGATATCAAGGGACTTCCCTGGTGGTGCAGTGGTTAAGAATCCGCCTGCCAATGCAGGGGACATGGGTTCAATCCCTGGTCCAGGAAGATCCCACATGCCATGGAGCAACTAAGCCTGTTCACCACAACTACTGAGCCTGTGCTCTAGAACCAGGGAGCCACAACTACTGAAGCCCGTGTGCCTAGAGCCCGTACGGTAGTTCTATTTTCAGTTTTTTGAGGGACCTCCATACTCTTTTCCATAGTGGCTCCACCAATTTACATTCTCACCAACAGTGTACAAGGGTTCCCTTTTCTCCACATCCTCACCAACATTTGTTAGTTGTGGTCTTTTTGATGATAGCCTTTCTGTCAGGTATGAGGTAGTATCACACTGTGGCTTTGATTTGCATTTCTCTAATGGTTAGCAATGCTGAGCATCTTTTCACGTGCCTGTTGGCCATCTGTATGTCTTCTTTGGAAAAATGTCTACTCAGGTCTTCTGCCCATTTTTTAATTGGCTGCCTGGTTTTTCTGAGCTGTTTATATATTTTGGATATTAACCAATTATCAATCCCATCATTTACAAATATTTTCTCCCATTCAGTAGGTTGTCTTTTCATTTTGTCAATGGTTTCCTTTGCTGTGCAAAAGCTTTCAAGTTTAATTAGGTCCCACTTGTTTATTTTTGCTTTAGTTTCCTTTGCCTTAGGAGACAGATTCAAAAAAATATTGCTACAATTTATGTCAAAGAGTACTCTGCTTATGTTCTCTTCTAGGAATTTTTATGATTTCACACCTTACATTTAGGTATTTAATCCATTTTGAGTTTATTTTTGTATATGCTATGAGGAAATGTTCTAATCTCATTGTTTTGTACGTAGCTTTCCAGTTTTCCCAGCACCATTTATTGAAGAGACTGTCTTTTCTCCATTGTATATTCTTGCCTCCTTTGTTGTAGATTAACTGACCGTAAGTGCATGGGTTTGTTTCTGGGCTCTCTATACTGTTCCACTGATCTATGTGTCTGTTTCTGTGCCAGTACCATGCTGTTTCAATAACTGTAGCTTTGTAGTATAGTCTGAAGTCAGAGAGCATAATACCTCCAGCTTTATTCTTTTTTCTCAAGATTGCTTTGGCATTTTGGGGTCTTCTGTAGTTCCACATTAATTTTAGGATTATTTGTTCTAGTTTTGTGGGAAAATGTCATACATTTTCAACCTCTTCTTGCTCTCTCCTCCTTCTGGGACCCCCATAATGCAAATGTTGGTATACTTCATGTTGTCCCAGTGGTCCCTTAAATTGTTCTCATTTTTTAAATTTGTTTTTCTTTTTGCTATTCTGATTGGATGATTTCCATTATCCTATCTTCCAGACCACTTATGTGTTCTTCTATATCAGCCAGTCTGCTATTAATTCCTTCTAGGGTGTTTTTCATTTCAGTCACTGTATTCTTCAGTTCTGATTCTTTTTTTATATTTTCTAGCTCTGTGTTAAAATTCTCACTATGTTCATCTATTACTTTCCTTACTTCAGTTAGCATTCTTACTACTAATACTTTGAATTCTTTATCTGGTAAATCGTTTATTTCTATTTCATGACTATTTTCAGGGGTTTTCTCTTACTCTTTCGTCTGAGACAAATTCCTGTGTTTTCTCATTTTGCTTAACTTTCACCTAGTTTCATAGAGAAATCGTTTAAGGGTGTCATTATGTGGGAGAACTCCTATACAGTTAGCGTGTGCCCAGTGGCTTTGGAGGGAGAGCTGGATTTGACTTGAACACGGGTCACATCTTTCCTGAGAGCATGCTGGTAGCTATCACCTTGGTAGGAGGTGTGGTTGGAGATGAAGGGCCTAGGGCCAGAGCCAGGTGTGACCTGGGGTTTCCCCTCTGCTTGGTGGCTGTCACCTCCCTTTTAGGGCCAGGGCCAAGTCCAAGCTCACTTCCTCCCCTCGGAGTGTGCACCCCCATGTATCTCCTCCACTGGGGACAGTGCTGGAACAGGAAGGGCTGGTGTGGGCATTCCGAGTGTGTAGGGGCATGGGCTACGGTGGTCCAGCAAGGGTCAGACATTCACACTGCTTCTGATGTTCTGCCTGTGTAAGTGCCAGTAATGGCTGCCCCCACCCTGCTCATATGCTGCTTCAGGTCTGAGCTGCTTCTGTGTCTCACAGCCAATCTTCCAAGTGGGGCTGGGGTGTTTGCTTAGCTCAAGCCAGGGTGTGCACTGGGGCGGTCACAGAAAACCAAGCAGTCACTTGTACAGTCTTCAATCCACCCCCTCCACCTTGCCTCAGGAGCAAGAAAGCATGTGCTCTTTCCTCAAGAGCGGAGTCCAGGCTTCCCACAGCCCTCCTGTTAGTCTCACAGCCCTCCAACCAGCCAAGAGGGCTTGTCTTCCCTCTGCTGGACCCCAGGACCGGGGTGTCCAATATGTGGCTCAGACCACTCATTCCCCAAGGAGGCTCTCCACCCACGTAATCTCCCTTTTCCTCTGAGTCTCCTCCCAGGGACACAGGTCCCAACTTCATCACTTCTCTTTCCTTCCCACTCAGTATCGTGTGTTATCTTTCTTACTATACAGGAGTCTTTCTGCCAGTCTCCAGTTAGTTTTCAGTGAGAATTGTTCCACATGTAGATGATTTTTGATGTGTTTGCGGGGGAAGGTGAGCTCTGCATCCTCTACTCCACTATCTTGATCTCCTCCTCTCTGAGAGAAAGTTTTATAACCTTTATTATCTGGCCCAAGTTCACAACAATGTCAGCTTTCTTGGAGGGCTAGAGAGCCAGATAGAGGCTTTGCAGCTAGAAAGAGTGCCCAAATCACATTCTAAAGGCTGCCCTAGGAGGTTCTAGGTATTTCTGTGGTAAGAATCTTTGCCACAAGCCTCTGATTTTTCATTTGGGCCCTAACTCTGTAGTATATACCTGCATTTCTTAAATCTTATCAACACTTCCATGCAACCCTCTCATGCATTTTCAAAATTAAGAAAAAATTACCAATAAGACTTCTATAATCTCTTAACCTCGAATTTCTCTTCTCCTGTTCCTCGCTGACAGATTTCCACTGTAGTTTCATTCTGAAGTATTCATCACTATAGAAAACAATTTTATACCAAAAAAGGTTATTTGAACACCTAAAAAACAAATTTAATGTATCAAAGCATTTATGGTGCTAGTGAGATGTAAATTTATAAATATGATAGTGAAATGTTTAAAGTTACAATCAAAGGAAAAATAAAATAACCTTATACATGTCATAAACTTTATTTAAACTACTAGAATAATTTAGATATGATTTTAAAGAAACATTTACTTCAGTCCTTAATATCAGAACTAAAATTATTCCAGTCATTAAATACTTTAGCCACTGAAGTTTCCAAATAATTACAAACCTATGAGATTTTTTTTTTTTTAATGTGACATAAGAGTACCATTTTCCAACCAGTTTACTACAGAAACTTGTTGATGTGAAAATGTCTTAGAAGGACTGGCAAACATGTTGAAAAGAGAAAGGACTGTCTGAATTTGAATATACACATAATGATTGAAAGTGAGCTTTAAATAAAAGGTTAGACTGACAAACTGGGAATAAGTATACCTGGGAAGTTGGTCTGTGTTTCTTTTCAAGTCTGATAATTACTTAAAAATAGAAACACAATTCCAAAAAAAAAAGGCCAGTTTATGTTATAAGAGCACCAGGAAAATAATTTAAAGGTAATTAACCTAAATAGCAAATACAATTTTGAGCCATTTTTATAATTTCATAATAAATTGTAAAAATGAATCAAGATAAATGAGATATATTTTAAAATCTATATCTTGGTATGCTTAAAATGTTTATACAAGGGGACTAGAATTTTTTTTACCATCATTCTATATATTCACTAATGTAACTGCAATGAAGTCCCTTTAATAAGTGTTTCTGGTTTGAAATTAACTACAGTGCTCACAATATTTAAATTAAAAAGATGAAAATAAAAATATGTTCCCTTACCCTAGTCTATTCCACTTTATATGGATGAGTTACTTGGATTTCTTTAATGAGCACACAAAAGACCATTACTTACGTTTTTTGTTTTTGTAATTGAGTTCTTTCCTCTTTGGTACTGTCCCAAGGAAAATAACCCAGAAGAAATTTCCATGCTTGTTTTCTCAACACATGACTAAGTCCCTGAAGAAAACATGCATATTAAACACATTTGTAAAAAATGAATGCAATACTTTAAGTTCACAAAACTTGCACATAAACAGAAAAACTACTATTTAAGAGATAGTTTTATATAGGCATACGTCATTTTATTGCACTTTGCTCTACTACACTTCTCAGGTATTGCATGTCTTATTAAATTGAAGGTTTGTGACAACCCTGTGCCAAACAAGTCTACCAGTGCCATTTTTATAACAGCGTTTGCTCACTTCATGTCTCCACGTCACAGTTTGGTAATTCTCCCAATATTTCAAACTTTTTCTTTACTATTGTATTTGATATGGTGATCTGTGATCAGTGATCTTTGATGTTATTATTATTTTTTTTGTTTTGTATTTTTTTAATTAAAATACATACGCTGTTTTCTTAGACATGACGCTATTGCACACTTAATCGACTTAATACAGTATAGTGCAAACATAATTTTCATATGCACTGGGAAATCAAAAAATGTGAGTGACTCGCTTATTTGCAATAGTCACTTTACTGCAGTAGTCTGTAACCGAACCCACAATACCTCCGAGGTATGCCTGTACATAAAAATAACTCAATTCAGTAAAAACTACCTTGTTTTTGACTTCCAGATTCTGAAGATGTAAGCAGCCGCCAGAAAGCGTAAACAATGAAGAGTAGACTGTATAGCAGACAGTGGAACTGATTAGTCTTTCTAAACCCAGTCCTTACTACATAAGGGAACTACCACTGAGGAACACAAATGCCTCCTTCACATGACCCACAGAACTTCAAGTAAGAAAGAATACCCTTCCATAGGCTTAATGGTATATCCCTCCAACCCAACCCTCAGGGACATCACAAACACCTCACTCTGTCCTACACGGATTTTAAGGCAACACTCATCAAATAGGAGTTCATCTCTCCCACCTCCCAAAAGAAAGCGAAAACTTGAACACCAACAGTTTAAAATACTAAAGTAATTACCCCTCTAAATATCATCTGCTTCATATTATCTACATTTAAAATTCTTCCTTCAGAATCGATGTTCTTAGTCCATTCTTCCAATGATACTGGCTCTCTCCTTTGAACAACAGGTCGTTCGCCCAAATCAATCTAAAACAAAAAGATAAGCAATAAAGAGTACACCTTTAACAAGTGAAATGAAATCAAGGTATACAGAAACTAAAACTAAAATACTATTACTCAGACATTAAGTTCTAACATTTCTAATATTTTCCCTTAGTTTCCAATATTTAGTTTATAAACTGCAATAGCATTCCATACATTTTACCCTCCTACTAAACACACAAATAACTGGGTTATAAATTCAGAAACAAAAAAACATTTGTTGTTTTGGGTTTCAATTACGTAAGTACAGAACATTCAACACGTAAATTCTAAAACAGACCCTTCACACTAAATGGTACGCTATATTATTAAAAAAGAGTATTATTCCATTAATCATATTTAAAATTAGCTTTTCTTCCAATCTAAAATTTGTAGCTCTCAGAATTGATTCATGATCCATTAGCTCTACTTGGCCTTTTCTACAGGTTTTCATTCAATTAATAGATGTTGGTAATTTTAAAATGCCATTTGCAAGATAAGCCCTTTAATTAAGTACTACAATTTAGATATTTTATAATGTTCTAACTATGTGCAGCCTAGAATTGTAGCAAATTCAAGTCTTGCTGAGCATATATAAAGATTTACCATAATTCAAGGCCAAAATTCATCTTACTTAAAAAAGAAAAGATTCACATAAGAATAAAAGCCCACGAGTAGTGTCCTGACTAGCTGCCTGTGCAGTGCCTGAGAAAACAAAAATTAGGAAGAACAGAACTAGGGGCAACATGCAAGGCTTACTATTTACTCACTGCTATACACTCAATGAAACAAAAACCTGTTCATTATTATAAAAAGGTAATCAAAGAAAGAGATCCAACACTGATGAACAGAGAAGTAGTAGTTGATGAAGAAGAAACCAGGAATTTGGTGGCAGGACAAGCATTAGTTGTTAGATATATTAGTGAGCAAAAGTTATAAAGGATTGTGAGAAGAGGCAGGTATGACCAAAATTGAGTTTCTATTTCTATAACATTCAGTACACTTTAAAAAGCATTTCTCCTGCTAAAATACAAGAGCTATATTAATATAAACTCCACTCACTCTTGTGATGACTTCAAATCCTGGTTCTTCTTGCTGATTTATCTTTAAACCTGGAATAGCATCACTAAGAAAATCTGCCATCTCTGAAGGTGGTCGTTGATGTGCAGAAGGATCGCTGCCTCTTAAACTATCAAAAATGTAGTTTGTGACTTTGGAAAATCCTACCATAGTGGCTGTATAAGGGTCCTTTTTAATCTTCTATGCAGTAGAAAGAAAAATATTGGCAAAATTAATTCAGATAAAGAATAAAAATACCTCATGACAGGCAAAAGGGCAAAGGTTTTTAAAGGGGGGGAAATCAGAACTAAAACACAGCGTTCTAAGATTATTTTAAAATTTTATTTTTTTCTGGGAAGAAAAATTTAAATTTTCTAAGCCAATTTTTTCATTTGGTTAAAATAGTACATTAAATAGCAAGCTAATGCTACTGATTGAATTGCAGATAAACACATGATTTGCAGGCTTCATTCAATCTGCACACACCAGAAATATCTGCAGTGCTTACTTTCCACTGATGGACGGCCCACAACAGCTTTCTTCTCTCTAACAGTCCTGCCTTCACAGAAAAAATATTTCTTGAAGTGGGCAGTACCACACTAGTCTAACACAAAATATTTGATAGCTAAGTTTAAACGCTCACAATATTTAAATATTAGCTGACATTTTAATCTAATTATATAACTGGTGAATCATGCCAACAAGAGTAATTTGTTCTGGACAGTGCTGTCCTAGAAAAGTTTTTCTACTGCTAGAGTTACTTCTAAATCCCAAACTGCCTGCTTATTCATATTTAGCAAAAATAGTTACTTCTTAAAGGTCTATCTTTAAAATGATTATTTTCACAATAAGAAAAACAGTTCCCTCACTTTTTATTTTAATCAGTATTTAGCTCTTTTGTCCTCCCTCCTAAAAAGTTCCCTCTTTATCTTCAGAACCAAAAAGAGATACCATGTGGGACAAAGAAGCACTCAAACATTTGTTGAATGAATAAGTGAATAAATGAATGAGTAAACAAAAATGTCATTAGTTTACATAGCAACCTGAGTGAAAAATAAATTATCTTTATCTCTGCCTGTGTTAAGGGCACATTTTTAGCCAAATGCAAGAATATACTCAAATACTTTAAGAGGAATTAGACTAAAATGACCACAAATGAACCAACTTAAACATCAAATAAAAATTCAAACCAGATTTTTGCATAAGCTTATCACTGATTAATTCGAAGTGGCTTACCCAGTGACTTTTCACCTAATCAGTGCAAGCTACGATAATAAAAATCTGATGTCCAATTTCAATTATGATAAAGGGGAAAATTGCTGTAAGAGTAATTAAGAACCAAGGAAGCTTCTGAGTCTTACAAACAATATGACACATATTATTCTTTCTATAAAATTACAGAAAATAGTTCCATAAGGTTTACACATGCAGACACTTGCCTCATTCTGTATAATCTCTGAGAAAGTGAGGGGTAGGATGCGGTCAGACAAACAGATTAATATAAGATAGACTAAGGAAACATACTTGTATTATACCATATGCTGGTTCATCAAGAAGATTTTCAAAAGACTGTGAAAGACTCTTATTCTGACAATTCACAAGAAGTGTTCTTTTGTCTTGCGGAGATCTGTAATAAAAAGAAGGGATTTGTAGAAAACAGTAGCACTCCGCATCAATGACTACCTAAATAATTACTAATGCACAGTTATTTTTCCGTAACAACAACAACAAAAAAACCTTAAATGTCCAGTTCTAAAAGTGTTTCCCATTAATTCAATATTAGCAAGTACTTACTATCTTAAGTGAGTTCCAAAACTACATAAACATTAAATATTAAATTAACAAATGGATAAAGTGTATTTTTATTCTAGGTAAAGCCAAGAGGACTAAATTATAATGAACCCAAACTTTTGTTTAGAATTATAGTAGAAAATTCTTACAAATATATCTTCCATTATAAGAATATATCTTCTCTTATAAAGAAAGTTGAAACACACTTTAGGATTCATCAGTATATATAATATGTACACTACAGGAAAATGTCCTATTTTGAAATGGTTTCCAACTTCACTCCACAGCTTGGTAGTACTGCAATATAAGATGTTAAAAATACAAGATACAATGTCTTAATTATTTGTTAAAGATCATTAATTATGCCAACCATTATTATAAACACACATGGTTGTAACGTACAGTTCAGGTACAGTATATTTTTAGTTCTTGCTTATTGAGCTCCGGATATGTTTTTCTCCACACTTCCTAATAACTACAGAATAAACAAAATGCTTTCCAAATAGACATCTAATTTGAAGTAATCAAATGAATTATCCAGTCTTTTTTCTCTTCAAAAAGTTTTATAATTTAGTAAGTCAGCTGTAATAAATCCACAACTTTTGTGTTAAAAAACAAAAATTAAATGCATTATTTTGCTGCTATCTACTTCTAGTTTATTATAAATGTTTGAGATAAGAACTTTAATAACAGTTATCTCTTCTCAATTCTAACATAACAGGATGCAACAGCAATGCTGGGGGGATATGAAATCCAAAACAGGATCTTATTCTTACTTAGAAACAGCACTCGATCATCAAAGACAATAGTAGCTGAATAAGCCCCTTAGCTTCTTAAAAGAGCTAAGGTTGAGTCATTTGAAGTAGGAAGAAAATAACTTTTTAAACGTTCAATTTTCATTAATCACCATTTTTCTGAACATCTTCTGGGGGTCATGCTTATTAACATGAAGACCTATAGGTTCTCACAAGGCATTTTTTAATGATAGGTCAACTTGTAAACATAGCACCAGAAAAAGAAAAGTAACTAGTATAGAAACATATTTTTTTCCTAACACAGTGCTGCTGGTGCTATGGTTATTATTTTTTGTTTCTAAAAATAGATTAAGTCAAATTTTTTCTTTAAACTACAAATAAAAAAATGATCATGAAAGTCAAAACACTGGCTATGCATGCTGAAGGGGGACACATACGCAACCTTCAGTTATCTGTGCCCAGCCAATTATTATGGCTTCAGATCTAAAACTATGGTCACAAAGCTGGAGATGGGAAGAAGAAATGACTGCTCAACCAACAAAGAACCACAGATACTTTTTTACAAAGGAAGGATTTCTTTTTTTTATACCTAATGCTCTGTGATGAGGGGCTGGGGGAAGTCACATTAGACTCGGTTGACACTGAAGAAATCAACAAAACATTTTTTAAAGTATATCAGTAAGAGGACAGGTAATAATGTTGCTAAGAACTTCAGAGCTCACCAAAAGGAGGGCTGGCATTCCAGAATATTGTTACATTTCCACCTGCCAGGTTACCACACTGATTTAATCTGGGAAGATTAAATATTATATTTATATATTCTGGGGATATTATGGATTCTGGGAAGTTGATCACTCATGACAACATTATTCAAGGCTTTCAAAAACTCATTGCAGCAGTAAGATAGAACTTTTAATGATGCTAACATCAGCAATTCTATTAGATCCTACTAAAGGGCTTAAAGAAAACCATTGTCTAATATCACAACTACAGACACATAACTACTAAAACTTCAGAAGTACTTTGGAGTGAGCCTCTCCCAAAAGCTTCACAATTCAGAAATTATAACAGTTGAAGAATTTTTGTGCACTGAGATGTAACAGTAACTATTTTATATTGCCACCGAGAAGACCAATATGGAAAGCTAAAGAAATAAATAAAAATATCATTGCAAAAGATATAAAGCCAAAAAGGTTAATAAAAAGTACAGAATATTTACAACAAAACTATATAGTTTATTCCCATCCATATAATTTATACATATATATGTGTGTGTATGTGTATGTATATATGTATGTGTGTGTGGATATATGTATCTCACAAAGGGAATAAATGAGGGTCTAGGACCTCATCTCATAAATGACTGGTGCTATAAGATGATACAACCAACTTGGCTTTTTAAGGAAATATTTTACTGCTTGGATATTTATGTATTAGTTTTAAAATGGCCCAATATATAAAATCATTTTAACAGAACCAATAACTTTCATTCATATCCTAGCAACCAACTTGGTTCCAGAAATGTAACAAAAATGTATCTGTGGCTCATTCTTTTACCCAACTGAATACCATGTTCTAAATGGTGATAAGTCAAAGAACACTAAAGAATATCAATGAATAGGACAATTTGTTTATCCCAGTAGATAAGAAAACCATTTGAGAAATAATAAGCCTCAAGAAGCTGGCCTATTTTGCACTGACTAATCCAGTTAATGAGACTGAAAGAAGGAACTGTGCATAGTTACCCAACCTTTACCTCGATCTTTCAAGGCTGCACATCCCTAGCAAATCTGCAATTTCTGTTTGTCTGTATGGTAAGACCCTTAATTCGTTACAGGGACTGTTAGGAAGACATCATGGCCACAGGTGCAAGCCACATTCTTCAATTTAGGTTAATCAGAGAAAAAAGATAATGTGGTCTGAATCTCCCTCTATTGATGTTTTGAACTCAGAAAACACAAGAAGGATGACCCAGGAACAGAGTGGCTGGGATCCCAGCGAAGCTGCTGACACCAAGGTTTTCCTGGTCTACCCTTCTTCTTCCGGTCTCCACAACAATCTGCGACCATAGGAACATGACTCTGGAAGTACCATTTTGCTTAGGATAACTGCTCCAGAGACAGGAAATGATACCTAATAAAGTAAAAAATGGGGGATATTTGGGACTTTTCATTTCTTTGGACTTGTGAATTCCATTTATTTAGATCATAAGTAATGAACATAAAAAACAAGAACCTTTAACATCTCCCTAAGAATCTGATAATGGAAGATGGTTTATACAAATGTGGGATTTATTTTTATACTGGTGACTGTTTATCTAGAATATCTATATTCTACCACCTGGACTCAGCATATATGACATAATGCAGTTGGGCATAATTTATGATGCGAAAGAGAATGGGGGGATGCTTATTTTCTGCCAAGTGTACAAAGGGGCCTTCAATTGGGGATAAAATATTTGATGTACTATTCTTACACATTTCAGACTATTCAGGGGGCAAAGAATAAACTGGCCCCTCAGTGTCACAGGAGAATACACAATGGAGAAGTGGCTGGTACTAAGGATGAAGCTTTTAAAGCTCACTTTACACAGCTATCTCCTCTCCCAGAAACAGCCACATCCTTGGTTGACCATAAATGTAATTAAGCCTAGTGGGAAGAGAGGAAACAGAGTGTAGGAAGTCAGACTCCTCTGCTAGGTTCTTCTCTTTGACCACGTCATTAAAGGCTATAATTAATCACATGCTTACATTCTATCCCATTTTATCCTCTTCTTAATCTCATTCTCTCTCAGAGCTTCAATTACTACTAACACACACACACACACACACACACACAAACCTACATATTATCCTACTAAATGCTCTCATCGTGCTATATCCCTGATTCATAGTACTTATTACAGCTGAAAACTTATGATTTTTTGTATAAGCGATCTTTTTCTTTTCTGCAATAGTACAAACTCCATGAAGACAGACACTATATCTTTTTTGACTAACTGCTCCTTTCCAGCACTTAGTATGATGTCTAGAACACAGTGGGTCCTCAAAAAAAAAATACTTGTTGAATGAAAATGTAGAGAGAGGGGAACACCATTCCCATGGCTTCTTATTTCCAGGTGGAAATATGCACTCCTATTAAATAAAATCTTCACAGGGACACATCTGACTGCTGAGATCAGGAAAGAGTAAGGTGAATGCATGGCATAACCCCTTCCAGGCTCTCTTTATCTCTTGGATCTGCCTGCCAACAGAGAAGGTGGTTTCTAGTCTGCTCTCATTCATGTCATAAGTGGTCTGCCCTCACTAGGGAGACCTGTGGTTGTCCAAAAATGATAACTGGATGACTTCAACATTAATTTGGGCTGAATTATTATGATGCTACATATCTAAGCCTAACCAATACAGAAAAGGAAACATAGTTTCACTTACAAACGTCATTAAAACATCACCAACACATATTTAAGGTACATATTCTCTTATAAGCACCTAAGTAATTGTTGAGTCTATCCTTGAACCCATCCAGGACAGAAAACTCTCTACCTCATGAGCTAATTCCTTGTAATTCCTACCCCTCGAGTTATTTCCTTCTAGTTTATCTCTGGAGTCATACAAAACAAATCTAGTCTATTTCTTTTAACAATCCTTTTGAAATTATTTGTAAAACTGGTAAGTACCATGCCATTTATTCATTCAACTAAGATTTACTGAACAAATGGGCCAGGCACTCTGGCTAGGAATTTAGGAGCAAGTGTAAACAAGATAGATGCAATCCCTGCCTTTATGGGCTTATATTCTAGAGGAAAACGTAACAGAAATAAACAGACAATGATTTTATTCTGTTAAGGGCCATGAAGGAAGCAAACAAGAGAATGAGAAAGCAAAAAGGAATGGGGGTGGGAACCTACATTAAATGGGAGACTAAGCATCCAGAAAAGCCCTTCTGAGGAAGTGACATTAAACTGAGACCTCAGGGATAAGAAAGGGAGAAGAATATTCTAGACAAAAGAAATACATATAGGACCCTAAGACAAGAAAGAGTTTAGGGCATTTCAGGAACTGAAAGAAAACCATGTGGCTAGAATATAGAAGAGAATGGCATGAGATAAGGTTTAAGAAATAAACAGAGCTAAGATAGGGCAGGCCCTCACTGACCATAGTAAGAAGCTTGGGTGTTTTTTTTGTTTTGTTTTTTTTGCGGTACGCGGGCCTCTCACTGCTGTGGCCTCTCCCGTTGCGGACGGAGCACAGGCTCCGGACGCGCAGGCTCAGCGGCCATGGCCCACGGGCCCAGCCGCTCCGCGGCATGTGGGATCCTCCCGGACTGGGGCACGAACCCGTGTCCCCCGCATTGGCAGGCAGACTCTCAACCACTGCGCCACCAGGGAAGCCCAGCTTGGGTTTTATTTAATGGTTCACCACAACTCCTTCAAGTTAAATCGCCACATCCCCACGTTTTTCATGATACCATTTTGATCCCTCTCATTACACTAGCCATCTTTTTCCACGTAGTATAGTTAGTCTAACACATCTAAAATCTAAAATGCAGTGTTTAAATCAAAGTGTTTAAAACTAAGAGTTCTCCAAAATATGATCTTATCAGTACAGAGTAGAGAGGGACTACCACTTCATTCTAGATACTATGCTTTAATCAACAGTCTCAGAATGAATGAGCTCTTCTGTAACAGTTACATCACAACACTGATTGATACTGAGCTTGCTATGATGCTAAGACCCCCAAGTCTTTAACAGCTGCTATTCAACAGCCAAGCCTTATGCCCCAGTCATGATAAATGCTCCTCCTGAAATCTACTTAACCCCGTAGGTGGTAGCCTATTCACAGCTTCTCACTTCAAGATCCAAGACCCACATACTACCAACCAGATCTGACTTTATGATTACAGGTACTAATCAGCATGCCTAGTGCCAGCCAGAGGTGGTCAACATGGTAAGGGAAGAGAATTTCATGCCGAAAAACATAGAGTCAATATCTTTCAACTTTTGCATTACTCCTAGCTTTATATAATCTACATTTAGGCATGACATTACTCTATTAAAGTGAGGACATTATTAATGAAGTTAACAATCATCCCTACGATTCCCCAAACTAAAAATCTCAACTTCTCCCTTCTTTTCTCCTCCACATATCCAATCAATCACAAACTCTAACACTAAATATTCCTCCAACACTTCTTTCTTGTCACTCCCCTAGTTCATGCTACTACAAGCTCATCTAGATGACTGGAACAACCTACTAACATGATTTACAAGATCCTTCATGCTCTGGCCTTAACTCAGCTCTTTGGCTTCATCTTTAAATCTTGTACCCTCCCTTCCCCCACTATGCAGACCTGTGATACTGAACTACTCTGTTCTGTGATTACGTCGTGTTTTACATACCTCCCTCTATCTAAAACATCTCTCCGTCTAAATATCTCCTTCCCTTTCATGCTAACGTTCACACAGTTGTCAAGTCTCAACCTAGACGTTACCTCCTCCAGAAAGTCTTCCCTGACCCCTACCCAACCCCCAGTCTGAATGAAGTATACTTCCTCCCTTCCTGGTACTTCCTCCCTTCCTTGTACTTCCTCCATCTTATTTCTTGAGTTTATTGCTATTTACTGGTCAGCATCTTTCACAAGACCATAAACTCTCAGATATCCAAGAACATGCCTGTTTTGTTCACTACTAAACATCAAACAACCAGCACAGTGCTCAGAACTTAATAGATACCACAATTGTATTTGCTCAGAGTGAAAGCGAGAAAGAGTATGTGTGTACAAATGCACATGGGTAAATAAATGGAAGACACAAGATTTCTGGAAAGTGAGAAAGCCCTAACTTCCACACTTACAATAATTTTATTTAGATTTGTCTGACTTAAATTTGTAACATTACAAATGAAACTCTATGTTTAACAGAAACTACATAATAAAAGATAAAACTGGTAAATATATAATCCATAAATTATTGATGTATCATCATTCATTTGAATGTGTATTAAAATACTGAACCATTCTTTTCTTTAAAACACTAATAAGGTGATAAGTTGCAGTTCCAAATTACTAAAATGGCAAAATTTTATTCAGTCACTCATCCAAAGTAGTCAATATTCCAGAAAAAACAAACCTGCTTGAGCCCTAATATGCACATAGGTCACTGATACCCAATGACAAGTAAAAATAGTTTACCTTGGGACCATCACAACAATCCGGTTTTGATAAGTAGGAAATAATTTGATACTTACTCACACAATACCACATATTTTTCAAGAGAGTCAATCAGTAGTTTGCTATCTCCTTGATGAAAGTGCAGAGCAGGGAGAACGACGTCATCCTTTAGACAGAATACCAAATACGACCAGCCCATACCCTCTTTGTTTTGCTTGATTGATTTCAGGTCTGTCAAACTGAACAGGAATGACCATTTGCTTTTCCCATTTCTATGACTTGGAGCATCTTAAAAACAAGAAAGTGGGGCAAAATATTTTTGTTCACCTTTTTAAAAGGTACTGACAGCACTCTTCATGACTGCCTAACAGATATTTGTTGAACCTAGGGAACAACTACAGCACTGATATTACCATGGCTTCTACCTGTATTAGAAATGGCTACATACATTTTCTTAAAAGAATAGTTTTTAAAATAATTATCTTACTGTATACAAATTGAAAAAAATACTATCCTTATTTAAAATATCAGCTTTGCCCCAAAATGATCATGGCTTTGGAAGCAAGCAGGCCAGACTCAAACTGCAGCACCACCATCTTACTAATTGAATGATTTGGGGTAAATAATTGAATCTCTCTGAGCCTCAGTTTCTTCATCTGTAAAATGGAGATAATTATACTTACCTCCCAATGTTATCCTAAGAATTAAAAGAGATAATACTTGTCAACTAATGAGTACAGTGCCAAGTATATAGTAAATATTCAATAAATATTCATCTTTTCCACTTCCCTCAAATACAAATGGCATGATGCATTTGGAGAGGCATTTAAAACAAAACAAAAAAAAACAAAAACAAAACCAACCTTTATTCCTCACTTCCTTTTGGAATTATTTTTACTAGATTACATTGAGTGAAGGTAAAAGTACACCAGTATAAAAAGTAAGGGGGGAAAGTGGGGGTGTGTGGGATGAACTGAGAGATTGGGATTGACATATATGCACTATTGATACTATGTATAAAATAGATAACTAATGAGAACCTACTGTATAGCTCAGGGAACTCTACTCAGTGCTCTGTGGTGAACTAAATGGGAAAGAAATCCAAAAAACAAGGGGACATAATGTATATGTATAGCTGATTCACTTTGCTGTACAGTAGAAACTAACACAACACTGTAAAGCAACTCTACTCCAATAAAAATTAATTTTAAAAAAAAGTAACGTTAGAGTGAGTACACAGACAGACATTTGCAAAAACCCAAAGAACAGTGGGGAATTGAGGATGAAAAGGTAACTAAGTTGTGAATGCTTCAAAGAGAATAAATACATTCAATCTTCCTGCTAAATCAACCTTCTACTAAATTAAGACCTCAGTTCAAACCAAACTATAGCTATGTAAAATAAAGCATTTCCTAGTGTGTGTGGGCTGTTTACAGAAGCTTAAAATCCTAGGTTTGTGAATAATATTGCAATTGATAACAAGCAATGTAAAGATTATCTATTTAAATAAAAACTTAAAGAACAAGGGAAAAAAGTTATCTAATACTTACATTTAATTTCTAATCTAAAAATGTTATTTTACTTGAACATTTTAACGCAGACTTAAGCATGTCATGTCTCTGAAATTTTAAAAGACCTTTTCTCTTATGTTACTTCCTAAGAAGTGTCATACTATCCTGTTATTGAAAATCTTTATTAATTCCATCCCAACACTATCAATTCCACAAAGATAAACTGCATAGATAATATCTGCTTATAGAACTTACTCAAAGGGTAGATCAGTCAGTACTGACCTGCATGTATGTCACCTTCCTATATAGTCAGAACACTACAGCTCCATCACCTCCAACAAAATCTCCTAAACTGACACAGAAACCTACAGCTTACAGAAACCTCTACCTGGCAAGGAATGCAGACACCATTACTCTTTCATGGACACTAGCAAGTTATCATTTGAAACAAAGTCCAGAAAGGCTAAGTAACTTATCTATGCAGTGCCCTGCCTACTTCCACACTGGTTCAGACGGTGAACTCATATCTAAGGCTGATACCAGATTAAGTACCACTTGCTCACTTTACGACACATCATGTTTCACTGCAATTTATATTATAGAGCTCATAACACCATTACAAACTAATATCAAAGTGAGAACAATTCTAGAATTCCAACATTTTATGAATCACTTAAGTGTGAATGCACCTGGACTACGTAGAAAGGATACATACTACTAGATTATCTGCAAAGACCAAAAATATTTTCACAGCAAAACAGCAATGAAAAACCAGATACGATTTTTTATCTTAAATTCCACAAAAAGTATTTAATAAAAGTCATGCAAGAAAATCATATGAAGAATATTAAATAATATATGCAGGCATATCAGAAGTTTGCACATATTCAAATGTAAAAATTTTACACAGATTTTTCCCTTGTTAATGGAAGAGACACACATTACATATTAAATACAAAAGAAAATTCCTCACACACTTCCTCACTTAAAGCTCTGATAAACAATGAGACAAACATTACAAGTCAATCCCAGAAGTCCCTTTTCTAGAGTATAAGCTTCATGAGAACAAGAACTTAATTCTGTTCACAGCTATATCCCCAGTGCCTAGAAGAGTGACTAGCAGATAGTAGGTAGTCAAAGATGTGTTAAATAAATGAATAATCTACTAACCAAGTCAACAGAAAAGTAATCTGCAATTTGGTCTACCAATAATAGCTAACCAGAATTAGAAGTTGTTACAAAGGAAAACTAACAGAATCCAACAGTTAACTCAAAATTTCCTTCTTTCTCCTTAAACAAAGGTAAATAAAGCTAATTAGTTCTGATGAACTTACTGTGTTACCCAATATATGTAAAAAATAACTCCAACACACTGACGTGGGAAAAATGGCCATAACAGCAAAAAAGTAAACAAAACAATTCAGTAAGTCTCCATATGTCTTCAACAGAATTAACAGCAAGGACGTGACATTTTATCTGAATGGGTTTCCAGAACATCACGGCAGTCTGCTGTTCTGGGAAGATATATTTTCAAAACATTTGATCTAATATATAAAAACAAAGACTTAGCAGTATATTTAAGAAATATAAAGTTTAAAAAGTCTTCAATAGTCAATTTTTTTAAAGGTTTGTCCCCATTTTGCTCTGTGAATCACAAAAAAGGTAAAAAATGTGAAGTTTATAATAATAAATAAAAATTTTATTTGAAAAAATCCTTTTCAAAAACGTAAAAAATTATGGCAGAAATTTAAATTCTGAAACATCAAGATTAGAAAATGTCTTCTTTAAGAAGGAGTTTTGATGAAATATGATTGGATGAGGTAGACAGTCTAGGATAAGATGGGATGGAATGGGATGAGATGAAACAGAGTAAATGTACCTTCATTAACTCCTTGTTCTGTTAAATATGTGCATGTGTATGCACACTGGGCCATACTGTGCAATGTGTTTCTTACTGCTATCATAAAATTTTTTAAACAGTGGAGAAAAGAAAGAAAAAGAAATGTGTCCTTAACTTTCAATAATTACTAAATAAAGGCTCTTTACAAGGCATAATGCAATGCCAAGATACATAAGCAGTATTTAGATCTGTGGGTTTTTTGCTAAGCTACACAGCTACACAGAGGTTCTCAACTCTGCACACTAAAATAACCAGGAGAGCTTTTGAAAAATACAGAAAAATAGGGATGCCCAGGCTCCATCTCCAGAGTATGATTTAATTTGCTGGATGAAACCCAGGCACTGGTACTTTTTTCAAAAGCCTAACTTCCCCATGTGATTTCAATGTGCAGCCAGTTAAAAACCATTAATCTAAAAAGACCTTTATTGTCAGATTATGCTTTTCTCAAACATGTAATGCTTCTTTTATGAAATTTTGAAAACTCACTCCTTTTGCTCATTTCTGTAACCTTTTTCATTTTCAAGGATTTAACAATATTAGGCAAACAAAAAATAGCAATTCACATAAACCAATCCTGAAGATCCAGTCTAGAGAAGTTAAAAATCCCTCACATGTTAAATATACTAAAATCCTGTGGTTTTATCCTTCCTTAACATTTCTGCATTGTTCTGGTTAAGAACCTTCCCTAGAATGGGAATGCAAAACAACAAAAAAAAGACATATATGCATGAGCTGGCTGTTACTGAAAGTCTGTGACTTACTATTTCTTAATTGCCACTGTTCCCAAGAAATGATACAGTACAAAGTATAACTACTGTATGAGAATGATTCCCCAGGCCATACATGAAAATCAATTTTACTTAGTAACAATGCTATATAAACGTAGCAATACATATTCTAGTCAATTTAGGCTAGACTTTTTGAATCTGGTAAATGCGGATAAATCCTAAACTGAGATCAAAATCACTGAAAGATAAAATATCCTATTAGTTATAAAACACAAAGAAATCAATAGAAAAAAATTTTAACTCTATACAGTGTTTAATATTTTTTAAAAGAGATCACAAATAGGTGGGCCACATCACAGGTGGGCTAGCTAGATCATATCTGGGGTAGTATACATGTTCTATCAGATTGCTAGGTTGGCTCTTTTCTGTCATCTACATGTAGGTAGTCACCACACAGCAAACATAAATTTAATGTATATATAAAGGAGAACAGATGCGGAACATATACAAAGGGGAGTTGCAATGAGCTGTGAAGATACCAGTAAACACTGAAATTAGAACGGCATGGTTTAGTGGTATACTTCATCTCCCCCTGGTGCTTTAGGATGAAATAACATGATTTTTTTTTTTTTTATTCTACTGGATTAAGAAAAATGTGCATGAGAGATAGCCAAAGCAATTTTTTTAAGTGTTTCTATTTTCTGCCATTAATAACTACAAAACAGAACAAATATTTTTAAAGCCTTTTTATGCGGTCACAACCAACAAAAAGATGAAAAAGGAATATAAATAAAATGGGAAACATACATATTAATCAAAGCACCAACTCATCCTTCTTCTAAGAAACATTAAAGGATTTTCTTTGCACTTTTGTTTATATTATATAGTAGCAAATCAGTTTAAGATTTCAAACGATTTAATTCATACCTCCATTGGTATGTGGTTTCTTTTTAAATGAAATTGTATTAACCATGTCCCACTCTGCTTCGTAACTGTTCAGATGTTCCAGTCCTCGATGAGCTCTTTCTTTTGGGGCCTGGGTCCATTCCACGACTGAACTGGAGTCCTAAAATAATTATAACATATAAGATATTTAGGGACTAAGACTAGAATTTCATTTCAATCAATAATGTCTTCTCAGCTTCTATATAAATTAAGTTTGTAGGCTGTGGCAGATAACTCTGGTGGGAAAGCCGAACACTATTTCCTATCCTTTTCTCCCCTGCTCAGCTGACCAAAAAGACAAGAAAACCTTGTCCAGATTCTCCTGCGGTTAGGGTTGCCAATGAAATATAAGCATAAGTCAACAGTAGGGCCTTGGAAATGCTTTTGCTTTCCTAATAAAAGCTCCATCCCTTTTTCCCTATTTCCTGCTTTTGATGCAGCTATGCTGCCTAAAAACATAATAGCCACCTTATAATCATAAAGACAAACACTGCAAATAGCTCCAAACCTCCAGGCTTCTGGTTATTTGAGGAACATACCCAATGGTGGTTACTTATTTAAACCACCATTGGTTGCACATGTCTCTTAATCAAAATTAGCTAAAAGCTACAAATACCATATCTACATGTTCAGTTCTAAAGAACTTTCTATTTTAAAAGAGAATAAAACCAAAAGTCTAAAATGCTATGTTAATAATCTAAACCAAAAAGTTTAACTTCTATTCAACAAAAGATACCACACATAAGTTAAAGATGAGCAAAACTGTGTGAAAATGTTTCCAAAACATATGGGAGATGACAGAAAAACATCCAGAATACAAAAACAACTCCTACCAATGTACTGAGAAATCAACAAACATCAAAAGAGAAAAATAAGGAAATGGTATGAACAAGCAAATCAAAGAAGAAATATGAAGTGACAAACAAAGGAAGATGTCCAACTTCAGAAACAATCCAAGAAAAGCAAGTAAAGATGAATTTAAATTTTTCTGGCCCATTCAATTAAAAAATAAAAATATGGAAGACAGTGTGAGGAAATGCTGTATCTCACACTGTTGATGACAGTGCTAATTAGTACTGACTCAAATGTATAATTGAGTCATATTTATTAAAATTCAAAATATGCATGTGTTTCACAATAACTCTCTTCTCATCTACTTTAGAGAAATACACATGTATACAAAGAGGCAGATACAAGAATTTTCATCACAGAATTGTTTGTAAAAGTGAAAAGCTGAATATATCTTATCATCCATCAATGAAGGAATAAGTAAATAAACTAGCAGGTAGCCAATAAAATGCTAGGCAGAAGTTTAAAGACTGATATCTGTTCATGTGTATATATGTTCAATATGTAATAGTAAATAAAACGAAGTTAAGAAACAATGTATGCAGTATAACAACTACATGGAACATATGTAATTAGAAACACACTAGAGAAAACCAGGGATGAATGAATGAATGAATGGATGGATGGATGGATGGATAGATAGATATGATAGGAAATGTGTACCAATAAAAGTCTGGAAAGATATACATTAAACAGGGACAGATTAGGGACAGGGTTCTAGTCAAGCAGGACTTCAACTTTCTATTATTTGAATTTTTACAACAAGAATGTATTCGTGTATTGCTAGTGTGTAATTCTTTTTAAAAATGGAAAAAGGGGGCTTCCCTGGTGGCACAGTGGTTGAGAGTCCACCTGCCGATGCAGGGGACGCGGGCTCGTGCCCCGGTCCGGGAAGATCCCACATGCCATGGAGCTGCTGGTCCCGTGAGCCATGGCCGCTGAGCCTGCGCGTCCGGAGCCTGTGCTCCGCAACGGGAGAGGCCACAACAGTGAGAGGCCCAAACAACAAAAAAAAAAAAAAAAAAAAAAAAGGAAAAAGGAAGATTTATAGGAACAGCAATATATTATAAACAAAAGAAATTAATAAGAAATAGAAGCAGACTGAAGAATACGGGGAAAAGCTGAATGAACGAAGTTATAAAGTGTAGTGTTTTTTCCTCCAAGTCCTTCCTCTGATGTCATTTTTCAGGGAGCCCTCCTCGTTTGCCCAATTTAAAAAAATGCAACCCTTACCACCATCACTACCAACTTTCCCATCAAAAGTAGGGAAAGCGAAGCAGCATTTACAGAACCCCACCCCACACAAAGGCTTGGAACTAGTAAATCAGGTACTTCTGGAAACTGGGATAAAGGTTAAGCTGAAAACAGGACTACTAACAAAAGTCGAGAAGACTGAAGGTTTATTCATTGTAAAAGGTAAAACAGATTATCTGTGGATTAGGAGAAACCAGGGACACTGAGCAAAGAGATAATACACTGAAAACAGGAGAATTAACTGAAAGTTCATCTATATAATAAGTTGGCAAGACTCCCAGCTCTCTTCCTCCACTCAGTTCCCAGAACAGTGGAATCCAGCTTTCCCTCTCCAGGCAGGAATCTGTAGATTCTTCTCTGACAAATGACTAGCCCACAAAAAAAGACCCAGGTTTCAATATCGGGGATTCCCCAAGGAAAACAGCCTAGCCAAGTCACCCTAAGTCCCAACTATTAACAAACCTACCCATACATAGAGAGAGTATAATCAGTTTTTTGTGTTTGCTGTGAAATATGAGCACCACAATACAAAGATCACCAAATGTCAAAGGCAAGTGTTTACATAAAAGATAAAGTCCAAATGAAACACGAAAAAAAAAAAAAGTCAATTAGAGGAGGTGGACTATATACAGAGATGAAAACATCTAAAAAACTATCCTTCAACTCCTCAGAAATAAGGAAGAATAGTACATCCATGAAGAACAGGATGCTATTTTTTAAAAGAGGGGAAAGGGGACACATGACAAAATGTATTAGAAATCTAAAAAACAGCAAAAATGAAAAAGGCAATAGAAGAACTGGAAGATAAAACTGAAGAAATTTCCTAGAAAATAATACACACATACACAAAGAATTAGAAAATAGTAAAGTATTAAAATATTACAGGACCAGTCCAAAGCATGTAGAGTTCCAGAAAGAAAGAAAATAGAAAATGGAGATGAAGAAGAAATCATCACTAAAATAATTCAAGAATATTTCCTAAAAACTAAAGGATACAAGTTTTCACGTTAAAAAAAAGCCTATCAAGCGCCCAACACAGTGGATAAAAAAGACCACAAGGGCACAACATTTCCAGAACATCTACAACACTAGAAACAAAAAGGCAATTCTAAAAGCTTCTAAAGAGGAAAAAAACATAGCAAGGATCAGGAATTAGAATGCAGCAGACTTAACATCAATAAAGGAAATTAGTCAAACCTGAGACAATAACTTTCAAAACTACGAGGGGAAAATTATTTTCAAACTGTAATTCTATGCCAGCCAGCTATCAATTCAGAATAAGGATAGAAAAGTCTGAAAACAGAAATGTTTTTGCTCTCATACACCCTTTTTCTCAGGAAGCACTGGAGGTGCACCAAAACTAGGGAGTAAACCAAAATATAAGATAGCAGAGGATACAGGAAATGGGGATTAAAATATGGGAAAGAGGCAAAAAGAATCCCCAGGATAATTGCTGCACAGCAAGCCAAAAGAGCAACCAGTTCAGAAGGAACTTGTAAGAAGGCTCTGGAAGAAAAGTTTCTAAGAAGATGACATTGGAAGATCATCTATGTGATTAAATATTTTGAGAAGAAATGTGGACAACTGGGCCATAGTTTCAAGGTGAATTAGAGATAAGATAGAGCTAAATCTCTACCTTCCATAGTGAGATGTCAACACGATACAAACGTTAAACATAAGTTAATCCAACTATTCCATTCCTGGGTTTTCAAGGAAAAATGTATCCACACAGAAACTTGAGTATGAACGTTCACAGCAGCATTATTTACATAAGCCTAAAAATGAAAACAACCTAAATGTCCATCAACCGATGAATGAATAAACAAAATGTGGTACATATCCATAAATGCAATATTACTCAGAAAAAAAGGAAAGAAACAAAGTACTGACAGGTGCTACAACATGGATGAACCTTGAAAACATTATGCTAAGTGAAAGAAGCCAGTCACAAAAGACTACATATTATATGATTCCATAGATAAAATGTCCACAACAGACAAATCCTCAGAGACAGACAGTAAATTAATGGGTGCAGAGGACTGGAGTTAAGTGGGAATGAGGGGTGACTGCTAAGAGGTACAGTTTCTTTTCTGGAAGTAATGTAAATGTTCAAAAGTTAGATATTGGTGATGGTTGCACAACTCTGTAAACATACTAAAAACACTGAATTATATACTTTAGAAGAGTGAATTTTATGGTATATGAATTATATCTCAATAAAGCTTTTATTAAAAAAAAATGGCATTCCTTCAGTCATGCATTTTTTTCTTAAATACCTTTCCAGCATACAGAATACTAGAAGAATCTAATGCATCATCCAACGGTCTCCAGTCCACTATTACTTCAGCATCCTAGAGAAAGAAATTATTAACCATATTTACTATTCAGCAATATCTTATATTTTTAGTCACCTATACTTAATTCCCTGAGCTTAAAATGAAATTTTTAACCCCTTAAATTTATCAGCACGTTAAATATGGAATATCATATGTAAACCACTATTTGACAACAATGTATATAGATTTCTAAACTCTGCCTTTCATTATAAAAAAATTATATTACTGCAACTTTTACATAAGTTTTAAAATATTCCATACCATTTTACTGGCTTATCTAAAGCATTTTATTTCTAACATCACTTCCATGTTAAATTTACAACCATTGCTCAATTACATAATTTTATCTTACATGTGAAATTCAAGCCTGCTGATAATGCCCCAATTATTAATTATTAAATTATTTAAACAAATAAAAATTATATTTTATTTAAACATAAACAATTATTAAATGAAGTCTTTTACTAGAAACATACCTTTTCTAAAACACGTAATATTCCTGAAATCAAGCTGTCTTGGTCACTGGTCTTTCCAAAAGATGAATGAATATACACCCCTTCCTGTTCATATATAATCTGGAATGGCAAAAATAAGATTAAATCACACCATTTTTATTCAATACTATTTCAACGTTTTAAAAAAACTTAAGAGATATTTTCCTATAATGCCTGAACCAAGTTTCTGGTTATTTCATATAAAAATGTATTATCTTAAAAATACTACTCAGACTTAAAAGCACTTCAAACAAAGATAAACTAGAAGGATATTTGCTTTGTTATGCATGCAAGTTTTTTGGTTTAGTGATAATCATGATTTTGATCTTCTCCTTAAACAAAGATGTCAGGCTAATTGTTATGTGACCCTATACGCAAATTCCACTTAACATATATTTTTAACAAACATTAAGCAAAGTATTGGGTTCAAACTGAAAATATCCAAAAATAAGAACAGATGAAATATAATGAAAAATTAATGATTTCTAACTATTTCATAACAGCACATAAGTTTATTTTGGTGTGCTTTTGTAGCACAGTGGCATAGAAAATAAGATGGGACTATTAAAAAGTAATGATGAGGACTTCTTGGAAAAACTAGTTTAAACTAGTTCAAGCTCACAAACACTGAGTGCTTCTATATGTAAAAGCATGTAAGACTGTAGGTATAAGAATATGACTAAGACATGGCCCCTGAACAGTGTCCTATGGGAATACAGGGAGACTTAAGTAAATTCCTGAGTAAACGGAAACGTTTATAAAGTTAAGCCTTATGCTCTAAAGGCATAATGTTACATATTAAGATTCTAGGGAGCTTCCCTGGTGGTCCAGTGGTTAAGACTCCACGCTGCCAACACAGGGGGCACAGGTTCAATCCCTGGTTGGGGAACTAGGATCCCACATGCTGTGTGGCGCGGTCAAAGGATAAAACAACAACAACAACAAATATATATATTTACATATATATATATGGAACAAATGGGGAAGAAATATTTGTAACATATACAATAAACATTTAAAAAAAAGGATTCTACTCCTGGGACCAATTTCAAACTATTAAAAAATTTTTTTCATTATGAAAATAAGTAAAAGGGAAATAAAGTAGTCACTTCCAGACATTACAAACTTATGTAATTTTGACATAAGTTTGGAATACAGTGTACTTTCTATTTATGTAAACCTTTTATTAACACAATCACATCTCTATTCAGAATAGCATGGGGACCAAGAACGCAGGACAAGCAACACAGGCCATCACTATCGCCCCCCAGTTGACATTTGTGGAACACCTATGCACTAAGAATTCCACGTTATAGTTTAATCCTTACAATAACCCAAGACCATAGGTTCTATAACTATATCATTATAACTACATCATTAGGATGAGGAGCCCATCTGTGTAAACAAGAAAATTGAAAGAGAACGATACAAATGGTAAGGGGTGGTGTGGAGTATGAAACCTGGGCAGTCTGACACCAGAGAACTGTTCTCTTAGCCACTGCACTACAAAGCTCCCACATTACTTTTACTGCCTCTCCTGTTATGTTAATCACTTGTGATATAGACTTACATCATGTCAAGAAAGAGTCCTTCCAGTAATCAAGATCACCAGAGAAGTTTTGATCTCAAAAGCCCAAGATGGCCTTCAATGAAATAGTTGTTAAACACAAGACTAGCATTAAGCAGAAGGCAAAGACTGGGGACAGCATGAGTTGGGGAGTGGTGAGAAACAATTCTATACTGTTTGTATAGAAATGAAAAATCAGATTTATTCACTCATGTGCACAAAGATATGCATATGAATATTCACAATAGTATTATTTATAACATGGTGGGTGGTAGAGTAGGAAAGGAGGAAAAGGAAGGTATGAATCTAAATGACCACAAAGAGGAAAATTATAAAATATATTCTGTGATATTCATTCTATGGAGAATACTATTCAGAAGTTAAGAAGTAGATTAAACAGACAGACATATATGGAAAAACCTTCCAATTATACATAATATGATGACACTTATACTTTTAAAAGTTTCTCTATATCTGTGTAAAATACAGAGAACAAGCTCTGGAAGGACACACTTTAATGTTAACAAAGGCTACTTCTGAAAAAGATAATGGGATGGGGAAAGGTTGAAAGAGGAACTGTAACTTTCTATGTTAATGCTGAACTTATTTGAAAATTTCAAAGTATAAATATATAGTTATATATTACTTCAATAATTAAAAATTAATTTTAATGAGTAAAGTAAAAAGAGGGAATTCCAGAAGTATAAACTATAACCTTTCTGGACTTTCGTTTATCAATGTATAAAACAGGGGCCACAAAACAGAAGTATGAAAAGGCTATGGGAAAAATAAAATCCCTTAAAATCTCAAGCTTTTTTGACAAAAGATATCCAGAAACTTCACTTTAGCATATTGTCACCTAATACTCAGCTATCAGAACAATCAAGAGCTCTATAGCTGAAAAAGGGACACTCATTTGCCAAGAAAAGCTTGGTATCATTAATAGTACAATCAAAGATTCTGTGGTACTATTAATACTAAAGAGATTCCAGAGTCTATGAAATAAATGAACCCTAAAGAAAATGAAATACTTCAGGTAACTGAAGCACATTAAGCAGCTCTTCCTTCCCCATACATATGTTAATGAAGTGTTGCCTTATTCTCTTTTTCATTTAAGAAAAAGTTGAGCTTCCGAAGTAATTTAGGTGGGAAAATATCTTAAAAAGTATTAAAGTACCAGGTACCTCACAAAAAGTCAAAACTGCATTCATCTCACGTTCTGTGTTCTTAACTTTTTAGCACTTTTTGAGGGACAAATTACATGCCCAAAATTCCACAATCCCAAACCCAGACTTGTACTGTCTTTAGAAAGCGGTCATGTTCAGCTTTTTGATTTGAAGAGTGTGATATTACATGCTCTTACAATATTACACCCTTGAGATATTACCCGCTCAATACAAATTAATTCTGCAGAAGGAATAAAATCTGTAAATTTACCTTCATGTGCTACTAAACATTATGAAGTCTTATAAGACTTAAAGGCGCACAGGTACGTACACACACACACACACACACAATCTGTATTAGTACATAATTTATTTCAAATATAAGATAATAAGTTTTAACTGAATAGCACTTTGTTTTCAAAGCACTCTGATTTCATTAAATCCTCACAGCCAAACTGAATGAGTCAGAATAGATCTCATTACCTCTATGTCCATTTTACAGAAAAATAAACTGAGACACAGACCTGTTCAGTGACTTTACATCAAAGGAAGGAGTGGATTTCATATTTCCTGGCATCTTCACCCATTAAATCTCAACTGTCTCAGGAAACTACCAGAAAAATTCTACATGGCTTCCGTAGAGGAAAGTGGTTTCTGAAATTGCTTAGATGTACAAAATGCTGCTGCTTAAAGGACTAAAAACAATTTTTTTTTTTTACGCTGCACCACGCAGCTTGCAGGATCTCAGTTCCCCAACCGGGGGCTGAACCCAGGCCCTCAGCAGTGAAAGCAAGACGTCCTAACCACTGGACCGCCAGGGAATTCCCTAAAAACAATTTTTAAATGCCTTTAATTTATAAATCAATACAGCAGCTAACTATTTAACAATTTGGCCTTTCAACAAAAATCCTTAATTTCTCCCCCATCTGAACTCCTAAACATTCCACAGAAAAAGCTTAGTCCCTTTTATAGCATCTTGGTTTGAATAATTCATTTTAATATTATAGGGAATGAGTTTACTTATTTTTTTATTCATAGCATATATATGTTCATCACCACAGTCTGTGGATACATGTATGTAATAAAATACAATTGTATCAACTACTTGAAACAGCTCAAAATATAGAAACAGAAATCCAATTAAAAATTTGATCTCAGGGAATTCCTTGGCAGTCCAGGGGTTAGGACTCCACACTTTCACCGCCAGGGCCCGGCTTCGATCCCTATTCCCACAGGCCAAAAACAAAAAACAAACAAAAAAAACAATTTGATCTTATAACAATAGCATGAAGATAATATTTCTTCACTAAACTCTACAGTGAATTGATTCCTAAGGAGTACCATTCTTCCATAGGACATTCTGCTTCTTACATTTATCAACGGTAACGATTAATACTTGAAAAGCTATCTCCAAGCTTGTTTGAAATGAAAAATTATTTTGCTACAGGGAACAATTATGATATCAGGAATTTCATCTAAGATAATACTTTCAGTAAAACAGGCTTCCAATTTCCTTACTCTGGTTTTGTTCATAATCTCTAATGCAAAATAAAAAGAAAGGTTCAAATGCTATTACTGGCCATGTAATATTTCTATAATGCATTACTCTACAAAGCATTTCTACATTATCACATTTGATCCTCACAACTCAGTTAGATATGTGATATCACTCCCACTTTGTAATTGAGCGAAAAAATGCAAAGAAGTTAAGTGATTTGATCAAGGTTCTCCCATTACTTTGGGGTTCAGACTCAGGTCTGCTCTGATAAGTTTTATTTGCCCGAGCAGTACATAATGTAAAAGGCCATCAACTTAAGGCTTAGCATATGTGGAACTGACAACATTGTTCCAGTATCCTATGTGCTCATATTCCAATCTAAAGCAGTCACCAATTAGCTACATGAGTAGGTCCTCTGTGCTACAAGAAGCAAAGAAAGGGCATCAGTAATGCCTCTTTCTTTCCACTACCTAAGATTTGAGGGGAGACAAAGAGTTCATAGGCATAACAGGAAAATAATATGTAAGTCAGAAAGACAGACAAGAAAAAAATTATATTCCAAGGAGGTCAAGGGCAATGAAAACTAATGTCAGGAAGCTGGCAAATGGAAAGCTATGAGAAGAAAAAGACTGAAATGAAAGTCTATACTACTAGAGATGTACAACTTGTTTGAGACTCCTTTTGCAAACAATCCAGACTCTGCGAGTTATCAGCACCAAACATCCTGAATACCAAGACAATGTATAGTCAGTGAAGACTTCCCATGATTGTTACCTTAGGGATACAAAGGCACTAAATGTAAACATAAAACAGTCTAAACAATTCTCTAGCATATATACCCGAGATATTA